TTTTGTCTGCAAAATCGAAAAACAGACATCTTAGGGTTTCGAAAGCATGCTTCAGTAAACTAAGTTTCTTTGGCTTCATTAGCATTAACAGACTTTGGGTACACCAAATTCAGCACATAGGACTGTAACTATAGTATATTTTCCAGAGACGTTGCTATTCACACTAACATCAATTTCTGAACAAGAAGAGATTTTCCAGAGACCTTGCATGATGGCGTGGGTTCGAACCCCATCAGTAGCTAATCTAACATCTAATGTAGCAAAAACTATAGTTTGACAAAAAAACAAAAAAAGGAAACAAACACGTAACTGTAATAACGAATTTTAGCAGTAGAAAGATATTGCAGCTGAAGATCATATATATCAGCTCCAGTAAACTCATGATCCGAAATCCGAACGATCTCATAAATAACTATCATCACAAATCATTCATTCACAATACACAAATGCATTCATGAAAACAAACAAATTAAACAGATGATCAGACATTATGATAATTCCATTAAATATTACTTGAAATTTCTCAACTGAATTGAAATATTACTAAATATATCAAATTAGTCAGTAAAAAACACCAGGCATTTGTATTTTATCCATAATTTTGTAGCACCAGATAGAATTGCAGATACCGATAAGATTGCCCAAAAAGTCAAATCACAAGAAAATTAATTAAATTAAAATGAAATTAGGGCTTACATCGTGATGATCCAAGATTCTGCAATCCCCACTGAGCTCAATCCAGCTCAAACTTCAATCACTACACCCAGTGTTTGCAGAAAACAGATCAATTCAACAAAAATTGAATCCAAAAACTGATTCAAAAAATAAAATAAAATTCAACAAAAATACTCAAATCCGTATGAAATTAAACACAAATGAATCTGATTGAACAGATCTAAAAACCCTAACCCTAATTCTAACACCACAGAGACAAAAAGCACAGAAAACTGAAAGCACTTTTGCCACAGAATAATTGGTGTGGGATGGGTACCCACCCCAACAAAATCATAAATGACAATCAAGGCCAACCTCTCAAACCGCCTTGAATTTCATCTGAGACTAGTATATAAGTAAAATCCAGAAACTGTGGGCAAGGGTAAATCTGGAAAAAGACGGACAAAAATGCTTGAACCATAATTTGGGGCTAAAATTCCAAATTGGGAGGAAACCCTAACCCTAATAGGCTTGGAAATTGATTCAGTGCCATTTAATCTTTGTTTGGTGTAAAATCAGTACCTTTTTATTAAAGCTGACAAATAACAGATGATATGATAACAGTTAGGACTTCTGAAAAATCAATTGGAAATTAAAATTAGGGTTTTTAATTTTCCTTTTTTCTAGGAAGAAGAATTTTGGGGATATTGTTTATGTGACGATTTTTTTTGGATAAATACCGGATTTGGATTACTTTGTGATGTAAAAAAGTAGGTGAATTTATTTTAATAATTACCTGAGTTTGGTTGGTCCGCTGCTTAGGGATTCCGTGTAGAAACCAGGGAGATTTTATCGAACGGAAAATGTTAAATTCCATGGGCGCCCTTGGGAATAACACGTTGTTTCGTGCAAGGAATGTAAATGTGACGGTGTGTCACCAGTTGGGCTTCGGAGGCCAGAAGGCTAAGATCATCTTCAATCGAATTAGAAAGTTCATTTTAGCTTTCTGGTATTTTAAGAAATTAATATTTTAATAAACAATGCATGATCATATTTCTTATCATCTCCAATCGAGAGTCAAAGGGTCATAGGGCTTGTTTTAGCCCTATCACAAAAAACCGTTTTCAACCCAAGACCAAAGAGTCAAACAAATTAATTTAATATAATTAAATATTAAAAATAAATTGTGAAAGGAACATGTTTATGAAAGGAACTACAACTACACCCATCATAATTGTCCCACATCGGGTGTGGGAGATGAATGAGCAAGGAAACATGCTTATAAAATGAACAACCCAACTTTGACCATATCACCTTTCTTGCCCCCAAAAAGTCTAAATTCATAATTAAAAAATCTTTAGAAAATTTTGGCCAAAAAAAAAGAAATTGTAAAAAAAATAAAAATAAATATGATGTCATCATGTGGCCTTATCCAGGCTGGCTGGTTTGGACCAACCGGTTGGCCTTTTAACCTTTTTTTTGTCCAGTGGGGCCCACGAGCCTTTTAGCCTGACCCTTGGTTGGAGACGGTTTTTAGGCTATCTTCAGTCCTCCCTTATGTTGAAGATGTCCTAACATATGCATTTTAGTCTCCTTTGATCAGTATAGTAAGATTCACTAAACGTCAGAAATCAAACTCATAACAAGCTATGCAAAATATAGACATGAAATTCGTTTCAACTACTAGATCACCTTGTGTTGATTTTTTTTTTTTTTTTTTTACTTTATATTTGTTTGTTAAGGTATGAGAAGAATTACTCGTTGTAATAAAAAATCGTGCTTGTCAAGATAATCAATTTTAATGTATGTTCATGTATTTACTGTGCTGATTTAATACAATCTCACTTTTCTTTTACTTATATTCTTCTTTTTCCCAATGAAACCTTCACATTTTATGTTCTTATATATTTTCTCTATAAATTAATTTCAAACACATGTATAACACGTGACATTAATCTCATTTATTTAATATAAGAAAATGACTTTATAGTATTGAAAATATAATTGAAGTATAAACTATGGACTCATTTATAAGTACTTTTAAAATAATTAAAAACGTTTTTAGAGAACATGTTGTTTGGTTCTAAAAACACTTGGAAGTGTTGCTTTTACATTATTCACTTGCATTTTTACTAAAGTTTTGTTTCAAAATATTTTCACCAAAAACGTTTTAAGTCATTTTAAAAACACTTTCAAACTAGTCATAGTTCTTATTTTTAATGTATGTTAACTAGTTGTTAAAGACGAATCCCTTAACGATTTCAAACACTCAAAATTACCAAGAAAATATATATAAAAAACGATTAAGCATCAAGACACGTCAATTGAAACGTTTATAATTGGAGACACAAGGATTGTCTGCCCTCCCATTTTTTATGCCCTCCTGTTTGTGTGGTCACGGTTAAGTCACATCAACATTTTATATTACTATTCATTTTTGTCTTATTATCTCTATAAAAAAAACAACATAAAATGTTGACGTGGTTTAATCGTGATCACGTGACCACACAAAACAGGAGGGCACCAAAAGTGGAAGGATAGACAATCCTTGTTTCCCTATAAAACACGTGATTTGATTGGTCCTAATGGTTGATCCCTTTTATTTCTCACTTTCATTGGAGTAAATATTTAAAACAAGATAAATATTTTATTCAACATAGCCGTCTTCCACGTTTGATACAGTCTGCACACAAAGAACTCACGAGTGCAAGGGACTTTATATTTTAACGTATAAGAAGTTTTATGGCTTTTTTTATAGGAAAATGTCTTTGAATACCAATAACAATCTCGTGGAAAGATTTTCTCATGTACGTGGAGTAGAAGACGACACATAATATATCATAATATAGATAGATTCACTAAAGGATCATAATGGTTTATGACTCATCTTGTTTTTTTTTATTTTTTTTTTATTTTTTGGGTGCTCTGACAGATACTTCTACCTACCGTATATCAGTATTTATAATTCAAGTATATACTTACTCCAAACTCTTTTCCGTTCTAGGCCAAACCTCATTTTTCTCTCCATTCCTTTTATTTCAATGCAACCTTCACTTCCCCTCGTTATTCTAACTTATACTTAAAAAAATTCATGTTCACTCCTAACATCATATTCAGGTTTCTGGGTTTGTATAATGTTTTTAACTCTCTCGGTTGAATTTGTGGTCTTTCAATTTTTATGCAAATTACTCAATCTATCATGTTTTGAATTTAAATTACCTAGCATGTGAGAGGTCTATGTATCCATAAAATCATAACTTCGTCACTGATTACATTACGAATAAAAACATTAAAAATGTATTTTATAATTACTTAATATTACGATGACACGTTATACAATGGCTTGTGTGGAAAAACAAAATTCCAACCTCGTGACCTTATGCCCCTCAAAGTAAGACAAAAGACATTGTTCTTAAGAAAAATGGTTTCTTTCTGTTTACGACACATAGATATAGTACTATTATTCATTCATTGGTGATTAGTTGACCATAAAAAAAAAAGTTGACCACTCCAATGAGTCAGAATAACTTTCAAGCACTCAATTGCGTAAAAACGAGTGTCTCACTGTTGTTACATAACGTGATTAACACATGGCGATGAATATGAAATATTCATTTAGTAGTTATGCATACGGAGACCCAATTAAATGTTATTGACACTATTTATGTTTGAGTCATCCTCTTACAAGGCCAACTAGGTATCAGACTCATGTTTACGTTGAGTCACACAATAAGCTAGCTAGGTATCAGACTCACATCTATGTTTGAGTCGTCTTCTTACAAGGTGGAAGAAAATATCACTAGATCATGAGACTAGTAACAAAATGTTTCTAGATAGTCACAAGCATATTTGGGAGTGCTTTCAAAATAGCTTAAAACAACTTCGCGAAACCAAAAAGCTTCTAAATATATTTACAACAAAACGTTTGAAAGTGTTTTTAGATTGTAAAAACACTTGTATTTTTATTAAAAATTTAGACATGCCTCTAAAACTAACAACGTTTAAGCATTAAGAAAAATTAATGAAAATGACTTGAAAACTTTGAGTTTTAATGATAAGGACAAAATAAATGGTAAAGTGAATAGTCCCAGATTGACTTTTTAGTGTAAAAATGTGATTTTTCATTAAAATAAACAGTACTGGAAACTTTTCGTTAAATATTTCTAAGCATTATTATTTTTTGAAAAAACATTTCTAAACGAGTTCAAGAGTAGTAGCGGGTCTTTTGGCCCGCTTGCTATTTTGTTGAATGGGTCTCTCCTTTTGTTTCGTACGGGGTTTCTGTTGGGCCTTTTGGTCTTTTTAATTGGTCTTATAAAATCATTTTTTTACGTGAAAATCGGAGTGAGAAATACCTTTAAAAGCAAACCGCAAAGCTCTAGAAATCTCTGAAATTATGATCCCGATTGCCCCCAATTCGTACCATTCAAAACCCTAGCTTTACCTTTATTCCGATATCGGCCATGGCGAACCCACCGTCTTCGTCCGCAGCTCCTCCGTTGACCTCTTCCCAATTCACATACGCGAACGCCTCTTCTTCATCGTCCTACTTCCCCATGCCCTTCCACCTGCAGCAAACCCAGTACACCGCGCCTTACGCCGTTGCAGCGCCACCCGCTCCGTCCGTCTACCCGGCCCCGGCTCCGGTCGCCGGTGTCTACTCTCTTCCTCAGCAGTATCAGCAGGTCTGTTTTCGGGACGCGTCTTTATGTACATTTACACTTATATGCATACTCATACGCTTAGGGTTTGATAATTGATGTCTTTGATTTCTTGAATAATTGAGAATAAATGGAATGGCGTTTTGCTTCGTATCGGAAATTCGTATGCTTTAGTGAAAAGTGTAATTTTTGTGGAAACGAATTCATGTTATTTTTGCTTTTAAAGAGCTATAATTTTTGGGATTCTTGTTTGGGGAACTACCACAATTTGAAAATGTAGAGAAGGCTTTTTGAGATTTTCAGTTTTGAAATAAGTAATGGAGCTACGTATCATTTTCTGCTTATTTAGGGGAAGTTGTTTGGTGTGTAAGTTTCATGTGTATAATTTGTTTTAGTGTAAATGAACAGGCTCAGCAGTTGTTTCAAAGGGATGCGCAGACGATTACACCTGAGGCTCTCGAGAGTGTGAAGGCTGCTCTTGCAAACAGCGAAATTGAGCACAAAGCGGAAGCTAAGAAGAAAGCTATCCCTCGTAAAGCTGCCGGGCAGGCTTGGGAGGACCCAACTCTTGCAGAATGGCCAGAAAGTATGTGTGGTTTCATAATTAAATGCTCTTTTATATAATATTCGTTATAATTCAATTTCATGATTGTGTCCCGTTTCAGTTTATCTTCTTTGAAGGTTTCAGTTGTAATTTTAGTTTTTTGGATTCTGTGCAAGTTATTCTCTCACAAGAATGACATTTTTGTTTTACCTGACTTTTCTTCAATTGAATGCATACCAATGCCTTACAATTCTGTTGGGTTTTGGCTTTTGCAGATGATTATCGACTTTTTTGTGGCGATCTTGGTAATGAGGTGAATGATGATGTTCTTTCAAAAGCATTTTCACGATTTCCATCCTTTAACATGGCAAGAGTAAGTGTCTGCCTCATCTCCTTTGTTTTTCCTTAAAGTTCTTTTATTATTATAAATTGTTTGCTTGGTGTGAACTTCTTAAATTTTATCTTCAGATTTTTATATGAAGAGCACAAAGCACTTTGTTTTATTCATTCTAAGGTAGGTCTCATCTGCTGTTTATATTTTGGGTGGATGTGTAACCGTACAAGTAGCTACAAGTTGCATATTGGAATGGTCAAAGTTGTCATGATGCATTTTTTCATTTTACTTCTAACAACATTTGACTGTAAGATGCCTACTGACAACCTACATCAACTTATGTGATTTTTCAAGCACTTGCTGTCTAATTTTGAGATCTCAAAGTTAGTTAAAATCAGTTTTGACCATTAAATATAGGTTGGACAGCTGGAATCAACATTTGGAGGTTGAGTTGGTTGAATTTGACCTGACTCGCGGGCGACCTTGAATTATTGCTTGTTGGGTCAATATGAACGAATTTGGAGTCAGGTTAGTGAACCGATTGAGCTTCCAAGCTGGTTCAATATTTTGATATTATTATGAACCTTAGGGTTCGGTGTGTGGCCCTGCTTTTGGGGCTTGGAAAGATGGTACTCTACAATAATTTTTGTTGGTCAATGAAATCTTTGTGAGAACTTTGAAATTTTCCTTCTACCCATGACCATAAAAAGAATTAACGACTTGAGTTGAAAACTGTTTAACCCCTACATTTTATTGCCGCTGTGGTGGTGTAACATGTGTGGGGGTGATTGGAGTGTGGTATTTGGCAATGGGGATCCTAGCTAGAACACCATAAAAACTGTACAGGGTACTTTGTTTTTTCCTTTAGTATGTAGATGCTTTGCTTGATGTTCTCATTTTTGTTTGATACTTGGTTGGTTGTCTCAGAATCCAATTGTTTTCCTTATTTTGACTGTGCCTGCATTCTTATAACCTTTCGTGGATTTTGCTGTTTTTCACTACGTTTTGATTCATCTACTTCTTATAGAATTTGTGAATTTTGGCTGTTATTGAAATCTTAAAACTTATATCTGTCTGCTTTATCACCATCTCTAGGTTGTCAGAGATAAGAGGACTGGAAAAACCAAGGGCTTTGGATTTGTTAGCTTTGCCAACCCATCTGACCTGGCCGGAGCACTAAAGGAAATGAATGGTGTGTAAAATATTAACTCGTATGGTGATTCTACTTTTCGTTGATAGTACTAAGAATCATAGAGGTTGATGATATGTTTTTACTTGTATGATAATGGTTGTATATAATTAATCTGCAATAATTCCAGGTAAGTATGTGGGCAATAGGCCAATCAAACTACGCAAGAGTAACTGGAGGGAGAGGATAGACTATGACGCACTAGAAAGACAAAAGGTACCATTTCCATTTGTTTAGCGTAGTTTCAAATTTATGGCTTTCCAAAAGGTAATTTGTACTTACCAAGTGTTCCTGCTTTATTTCATTTGTGGCAGAACCACACTCACAAGAAACCAAAGCCTTCGAAGAAGAGTATATTGCACAAGTGAGCTAGAGACTCGTGGGCGGCGTGGTGAATATGGAAATTGGGGCAGTGAAGCTTAATGATGATAATTTGAACGAATGATAGTATGCGACGTGCATTTTTTTCGTGTGTTATACGGGGATTAGAGGAGGATCCTTTTAAATACTAATTAAATAGGTTCGATCAAGTATATTGAAATGTGGTTCAGCATGTTTGGGACATGGTTCGGTACAACAAATGCCTAATACAAGTGGTTGAATTCTTTATGTTTCAAGTTCAGCTTAAATTTGTCATTTAGTATTTGAAAATCAAGAATCGTGTCAACTAAACGCTTCTCGATTCAATTTCATGTCCTTACTTTCATATTCTAAGTGAGTTAACATGTCACAATGGTCGAACGGATAATGTCTCTTTCCTCTACTCGTTTTATGTTCACCACTTTCTCTCTTCCTCTTTTGGTTCATTCTCTCGCCCGTAAAAAACCAATTATATTTGACACGCCCCGATCCCGATATTCCCCGAATACCAGGATAGGCACGTGTTGGCCGACACCCGAGGGTGACGAAAGCCATTTATTAAGTGCAAATGCTGAAAATAAAGGATAAATAAGGTTTATAAATATAAAAGAATAATGAATATGCAAATAAGGACCGTGTTCAGAGCACACCACTAATCTAGAACACTAAAAGAAAATAATATAAAATTGAATGAAACCAAGGAGTGGGTCCTACACCAAGAGGACTCGAAGATGCCGATGCGGAAGTGCCTGGACGTCGGGATTGTATGCCTCGATTCTAAGTCCTGAAGGGGGCGCAAAACAAACATGAGTGGACCAAGTTGATATATATATAATAAAACAGTTATCAACATACTAACCCCCAGGTTTTATGAAAACACATATATATAATGATAAACATAGGTTTTCCGAAACCTAGCATGTCATGCACTGTTTCAAATCATAAATCGCATAACTAATAAACACTAGTGAATGTCCGATATAACACTTCAGGCCCCATGCCGGCTCCCCGTCTCTGAGCACACAGTCAGAGGAAAATACACTTCAGGCCCCTTGCCGGCTCCCCGTCTCTGAGCAGACAGTCAGAGGAAAACACACTTCAGGCCCTATGCCAACACCAAACCGTCGCCCGGGACGGACCGGATCTATCCCTACGTCCCGTAGCGGAAAGGACCACTAGGTAGGTACAAAACCAGTGAACATACATATATTGAAAATCAACTTCATAGTATAAAGTCATCCATCATCTATACTATAAAGAGGTGTTCTAAACATGTTCTAAATATCATATCGTCATCCATCAGATATTCTACAAGAACATGGGTTATAGGAAAAATAGTAATAATTCAAACTAGCCTCAGTAAGCATATTATCTCAAAACGTTTCATAAAACATAATCGTAAAGTCATGCTTTTCTGTGTATGCAATTCTACCATTAAAACATGCATTTTTAGAAGGGGTCCACTCACCGTACACCGATGGTGCAAGCCGTACCAAACAGGAGTAACGGAATCTCCGCTAAGAATCGCACCTAAACACACAATTGTTACTTTCAGTCAAACTCTACTCAAACGATTGAATTTGGGAAAACAGACATCGGAAACGGGTTCAGAACGTCGAAATTAGCCTAGGATGGGTCCCGCATGAAAACCCCAAAATTCAACGGTCAAAGTCAACGTTGACCGTTGACCGTTGACCGTTGACCGGTCAAAGTCAACGCTGACCGTTGACCGGGTCAACGGTCAACGGATCAGGGTCCGGGCAGGGTCAACGGGTCAGGGTCCGGGTCACGGGTCAGGGCCACGGGTTTGGGCTTTAGGGTTTGGGTTAGGGTAAATGGGTTTAGGTTTTAGGTGAGTTGGGTTTGGGTATTGGGTTTGGACTTGGGTTGGATCCGGGTTGGGCCTAAGGGTTTGGGTCTAATGGGTTTAGGGTTAACGGGCCAGAGGCCCTAAAACAAACGGCCCAAAGGCCTAATTACAAAGGGTGTTGGGTTGGGCTGCCCAGATTTTGGGCTTGGCAGGAAAGGCCCAAAGGCCTTGGGTGTTCGCCGGAGTCCAAAGAGGGAGAAGGCCGGATTTCGGCCGGAGAATTCCCAAGCTCCGTTGGAGCTCAAAACTCAACCAAAACATGTCATTCAATATACCAAAATGAAGCCCCGAAAGTAAGGAATCGAAATATACCCTTGGTTCCCATCATCGTGGTCGAAGTTGGCCGGAAAACAGCCTGGAAGCCACGGGTGTCCGCCGGAAACTGGGTAAGATTCAAATGAGCATAACTTCTTCAATACTCAATGAAATTGGGTGAAACAAAAAGGAAAGTTGTAGTACTCAGCGAGACGAAGAGATTGATACCTCGCACGCCGGACAACTCGCCGTGGTTTGGCCGGAAATCGCCTCGAAAGCGGCGGTGCTCGCCGGAAAACTGAGAAATGTCTCCCGAGGTGGTTTCTTCGTGGTTTGACGTCCAAAACACAACCACGGGGTTCGAAAAGAGTTATAGGCGTGAGCATGGGTGTGTGTGGGTGTGTGTGTGGGTGTGTTATGCTCGGAGAAATAGCACCGAGAGGGGAAAGGATGGAGAAATCAGAGGGAGAAAGAGAGAAGAGAGAAGAGAGACTTTTCAGAAAAAACAAAAGAAAGGGAAAGGGAAAGGGGACCGGAAACAAGACAGGGGGTGGGCCCCTTGGGCTCACCAATTAAGGATAAAAACAATTTTAAAAAGGAAGGTATCCCCAAACTTAGTGAAAAATACAAAAATACCCATTTTCTTACGTAAATCCCGGGACGGGTTGTTACAATATTAACGAAGCAGGCTAAACCAAACCGTGCTCATCCTGTTTAATTTAGTTGAAGTTGTATAGAATCTACAACTTCGGTAAGATAGAATGTTTTGCTAGAAATCTTTTTTGCTTTTTTTCCTTGATACAAACGATATATTCTACACAAAAGAAATTCATCTTCAAATTAGCCATTTCCATTTAGTTCTTGGTATCTTCTCTTTCTTTTTCTTGCTGGAAGTTCTGCCGCTGAATGTCTGCCTTTCTCTACGTTAACGAAAAACATGAATTTGTCGATACTCTAACCCCTCTTTGTAGCTACAAAGCAAAAGCTAGTTCTTAATCTCAGATAGAGTAAGCTCTTTGTAAAAATCAAGCATGGGAAAGGTTCTATTCAAACGCCTGAACGAATCTTCGGAAATCGCCCTTAAACTAAAAACAGAGTTGGCAAGCTCCATCGCTTCAGCTCGCCATCCTGCGAATCCAATTCCTTCAATCAACAAAGTGTAGGTAGTTTCATTAGGCCGGCACCCCTTTTCAACCATCGCCGCAAGCACTTCAATGGCATTGACAATCCTTGGCGTTTTGCACAGCCCGAGAAGAACAATGTTGTAACTGATAACTGTTGGCTGAAAGCCACCACTTTCCATGTCTACCAACAACCCTATAGCCTCATTCACCATCCTGTCTCTGCACAAATATGATATAAGCGAATTGTAAGTAATCTCATCGGGGTCAATTCCTTTGCTTACCATCTCCGACACCATTTGAAGCGCTCTCACTCTGTCTCCGCAATTCCACAGTGCACTGAACATTGTGTTGTAAGAGCTCACATTCGGAGGACATCCCACTTCACCGAGGTTCTCGAAGATTTCCAAAGCTTGATCAGCATTTCCACTCTTACACAAAGCAGCCAAGATTGTATTGTAGTTCACAATATCTGGCAAGCAGCCATCCGATATCATGTCATCCAAAAACTCGATCGCCAAATCCAATCTCCCTTCTTTGCAGAAAGCAGAAACCAGTGGATCATAACTATACACATCCGACGTCAATCCCTTGTCCTTCATGATCTTCAACACATTCACAGCATCCTCAACTTTCCCATCGCGACATAGCGTGCTAATCAAAATGCTGTAAGTCACCACATTCAGTTCACAACCTCTCGAACGCATATTGCTCACTAGCTTCTCCCCTTCCTCCCATTTACCCCTATTCAAAAGCGCTCGTAACAAAATGTTGTACGAGACTACATTAGGCGACCAGCCCTTCGAATCTAAGCTCCTAACTAAGTCGAACGCCCTATCCAGCATCCCTTCAGTACACATTCCCCTACAACTGCATTGTAAGTATTCATGTCAGGTTTAAGCCCTCTAGATAACATGTCATCCAAAAGCTTCACGGCTTCATCAATTCCTCCTTCAAGAATCATTGCTTCGATCAAAATCATGTAAGTAATCACAGTCGGCCTGCAATTATCCTTCACCAACTGATCCAAAACCTTCAAAGCTAATCCTAGCTTCCCCCTGCCACAAAGACTCCCAATCATGATATTGTAAGTAACAACATCAGGTGAAAATCCCCGACTCCTCATCCTATCAAGTACCTTGTTTGCTGAATCAATCCGATTTGAACCCGCTGATCAACGCATTGTACGGAAACAAATCAGGCTCACTATACTTCTCCAAAATCTGCATAACCCGAACGGCCTTTTCGACGTTCCTCGAATCGAAGAACCCTTTGATGAGCTTTGTGCAGAGAACCACATCAGGCCTGTACCCCTTGTTAACCATTAGCTCAAGAAAGTAGAGTGCTTCATTGTACTGGCCTGCTTTGCAGGACCTGTTGAGAACTTTCATCAAATGTGTTTCTTTGACATCATTGTTCTGCAACTGGGTCTTTCTTGCTTCGGCGGAAGCTGCCGCCTTTGGCGGTTTTCTGCGGCGGTTTCCGTTGGACGAAATGCAACGGGTTTCTGCGGCGGTTTCCGCCGTTTGATAGAATGCAAACCCTGCAGCTCCCGGCGTTGGTTTGGTGGGAGGAAGGATTCGGGTGGGTGGTGACGTGGAGGCTCTGAGGCAACAGCTTGGCGGCAACTGTTATCATTGGTGGAGGATTTGTTGAGGTGATTTTTCAGCTCTCATGGAGGGATTGTTTTTGCAGAAAGTTTGGAGATTTGCATGGAGAAGGTGACCAAATTGGAAACATGTCGATATCATGGACAAAGGATTCCGGTTAGATTTCGAACAAGTGTTTTGGATAGGATAAGGAATCTTGTCGCACGTTGTAACTAGCTGAGGTTTTCGGTGTTGGGCCGGGACATAAATGTGAACTCGAAACTTGGGTTGGGCTACGGTACCACATGTATTAACTCATAGCCCAACCAAATGAGAATTTTTTGGGTCCGGCATGTTAGTCACTCGCCTTGAGATCGGACTTGTACTACCATCCAATAAGAAGCTCCGTCCAAGACAAAAACATCTCACCCGGGCCCACCTCTCTTGTATTCTGGCCCCACTCACTGTTCATCGTGCACCCGTTGGGTCTTTGGTCGGATAGCCACTCGACATGGGCATCCGGACCGAAGAACTCCACATACAAGGGGGATTTGCAGGCAAGGTAGGCCCGACACGGGGGCAGTTACCCTACTGAAGTTTTTCCTCACCCGCCGCACAACATAGCACTACCGCCTGCATTAGGGTGGGTCGAGCATAAGGTTGTGTGGTATCTGCGTGTGTTGCTCTTTATGTGCATGGCCAGACGAGTGACGTGATTCACTAGCCAGACCCAACTGCAAAGAAATTTTAGCAAGGTGCATGTTAACACAGTGTTTTTGCAAGGCTGCTTTGATACTCTAAAAATACAGATAAGAAAACATTCTTCAATAATATGGTGTGTATTAATCATGATGTAAGACATATATATTATTATAATTTGAACGATTATAACTAAAAGAGGAAGAAGTTACAAGTTTGCAACATATAATGTGCCCTAAACTCGTATTTCCGAGGGCTAACTCTCCCTCAACTAATGGGTTCCGATGTCGGCAACGTGGAGCTTTAGGCCTTGTACGGTGATGTACTTGTGCTATATTTGTTCCATTTCAATCTTCCCTTAACAAACAAGAGAGAGTTAAGTTCGAGTTCAGAAAATGTATGGCGAACTTACTACAAACTCGACAATAAAAATGGAATACATAACAAAACCTTATTTCATTAAGTGAGATCGATTACTTGTTCCAAGTCCACTTAAAAAGAAGAGGAGGGCTTCAAATTGTCAAAATCCGACACTCTGTTTTCACGTCAAAATCACTATAATAATGAATCCATAAAAATAGAATACGTTTGAATTTTTTTGATACAATCAATTCGTTATAAGATTAAACTAATATAAACTGCGGATAAAATTTGAATTCAAGTGTATAAAATGCGCATATCCATTCAGGTTTTATTTGATTTAGAGAACAAGAATAAAATTCATCCTATAAGTACACAAGATTAAGTTTAAGACGTCTTAATAATCAGAAGATGCCTTTATACATTATCCTTTCATCAATCATCTTACATGACAAAAAATGAGGTGTTGACTTGTAAGAACTAGCTAAAGGTAGCATATTCCTTTCTTTCTTTGTGGTTTCAACCTATGCTTTCCCGCCTTACTAAATCATGTAACACAAACGCTATCCACACACCTCATTTTACTTCTCACATACCTTTTGATAATTTATGTCCGTTGATCTTCTTTAATTCATCCGATCCGATGACCAAAAATTAAAAAAGTGTGTGAGAAGTAAAATGAGATGTGTGAATATCACATCCCTAAATTAATTGTGATAAAATAGATTTTCAAATATTTTTATACATCTGAGTTTGAGCTCTATTATTATCGCTTATTGTCCAAATCGTCCAAACGGACGCCGCTCATCGACAATATTAATTCCAAACGCCATGTCGTTTCCATGCAGCTTCTCAAAAACTAAAAAATATCGGCGAGTCGACTCAGTGAGTCGATCAACTTTTCTAAAACAGGCAGAACTGTTTCAAATTTTGCAAGCTCTTTAAATTCAGCGGCTTTCATGTTTTTGTCTGCCGTAGTTGGATTATCCGGATAGATCTGACCACCGAAGCACTTAGATTTTTTCAGGTGATTGATTTATTCTTCTTGTTGTTGCCTTTTGTTTGTTTGAATACCAGAAATTTGACTACTTTCTTTGTATTGTTTGCTGAGAATTTTTGTTTTTTTAGGTTGGTTTTAAGAATTAAAATCGGTAAATACTAAATACCCTTTTGGGTTTTGAGCGAGATCTGCTGTAATATGCAGGGATTAAGGATTAATATTGTTTGAAATTCAGAAGTTGTAATTCTGGGATTTGGTTGTTTGAGCTGGAACTTTTGGGAATTTGAGCAATGGGTGTTCAATACAGTCCTAGGGTTTGAAAGGGGATATTGGTTTCGAGAAGGTTTTCGACTCGTTACCAATGTCTTGGGGTTGGTTTTGAGCTAGAAATTTTGAGAATTAAGGAAGTGGGTGTTCCATGTACAGTCTTAGGGTTGAAAAGAGGTTTTTTAATTTTTATTTTTTTGGGAAATTTTTCGATTTGTTACCATTCTGCGAGTCGGTTTTGAGCTGGGAATTTAGGGAGTTTAAGCAATGGGTGTTCCATATACAGCGTTAGGGTTGAAAGGAGATGTTGTTTTTGTGGAATTTGTTTTCGAGGAATGACTTAGATGGGTTCACAGAGGATGAAGCCGAGCATCTCTATATATCTTGTGTTTCTTCTGTGTGAAATTGTGAATTATTAGCCGTCGGCAAAGTTGTTAGTAGCAGATTAGAATTTTTAGGTTTCAAATTTTTTGTTACAAACTAATGTGTTTACTATCAAGTTGAAGTAGTTTTGAACCAACAGATGGAAATAATATGTTGATGATTTTGTCATCTTTTCGAATGCTGACATTATAAGTTATTCAGGAATGCGAGTAAAACACCAAAACATACTGGAAGGGACAGCGGATAATGGCAGAATTAGAAAATTTGCTCTTGGAGGCTGCGAGAAGAACAAGTTCATCGGGGAAAAACCGACACTCACATTCATCATCTAGGAGGAGACGTCGGGGCTCATATTCTGATGGAGGAAGTGACTCTAGAGGTGATGATTCTGTCTGAAAGAGCACAGAAGAAAGATGACAAGAGTTTAAAGGAGAATTTCCGACCAAAGTGGGACAAGGGGGAGGCCATACAGTCCTGGAAAGAGGCTCCCCCTCTTACAACCTCTCAGGTGCGTTCATCAGACAAATCTGCTGACAGGGCAACTTTCAAGGATGATGCATTGAACAAGTTAATAACAAAATCTTTGAAGCAGCAGGACCATGAGGCTCACCTCAAGTTGAGAGATGCTTCTCGTAGTGAAGATGATGGATCATCAGGGGATGATGCAATGATTGACAGTGATGATGAAAGGTCAGAGGGACTAACTTTTGATGATATAAAAGAGATTACCATTCGAAGGTCGAAACTTGCAAAGTGGTTTATGGGGCCCTTCCTGGAAGAGTTAATTGTGGTTTGCGTTGTGAGGGTTGGAATTAGGAGGTCAAAATCTAGGACTATCAGTGGTGGGAGCAGTACGGGCAGACATGGTGGCAACTGCAGCAGCTTTGGAAGCTGCGGCTGGTGCGGGGAAGTTGATTGATACGAGTGCTCTTGTTGATTTTGGAACAGAGTCAAATCTAAAGCATAATTTTGAGCTGCCAATATCATTGGCTTCTCTTCAGAAGTTTGGAAAGCCACAGGGTGCTCAGAAAGGGTTCCTGGCAAGAAAGCAGTGAATAGAAGCAATAGTTGCGTGCCAAGTCCCAGAGAATGATGGAAGGAGGCATGCGCTGATGCTCACAGTCGGCGACTATATGAGTAGAAGAGGGATTCTATGAACATATTAAAAACCTTAAACGCATTCATAAGTTAAATTAAACCACCATAGAAACAAGAAAGTTCAAAAAAGAGAACATATTAAAAACAGATCAAGGCATGCAAACTAGCTGATTAAACCAGAAAGTTTCCAAGCTTACTTAGTCGGCATCGTCCGCTTGGCCCACCTCATTATTTCCTTCCACACCGTCATAAAAATCCTCATCTTCGTCTTGTTCCCTTTCTTCCTCAATATCACCCTCATAAAAGTCCTCCTCATCATCCCCATCAAAATCCTCATCGTGTTGTCATCAAAATCCTCATCAAAATCATCATCTTCATAATCCCCATCAAAATCATCAACTTCGGTAGAAATTTTTTCTAAGGCCCGTTCGTAAGGGATATAGTAGTACTTAACTAATGAACCTTCGAAAGTCATACGTTTGTCGCAAACTAAACGTACCCCTATTTTCTTCACCGGACCATGTGCAATAACATGGACCAAATCGCCTTCTTCCAAATTGAACTCAGTTTCCGACAACGATAAATTTCCCAACCGAAGGATCTCTTCAAGGGGAAAAATATCGACTATTTTGACATAAAAACTAGTACCCTTGGTGTGATTAATAACATAAACATAACATGAGCTGACGTAATCATGAGGAATAGAAGCCAGGCACACAGCCAACGTTTTTGCATTACAACCAATTTCCTTAGGCACTTCAAAAGAGACTTGGGAACCCTCGTTGACATGATTGAACCAAGTGGGAATTTGTCTTCCTACAAGACTCAAGATTCGACCTCCTGTCCATCCCTATACCATGTTGAACAAGATTTGTGTGAGTAATACAAACATAACACACATATTTGCAAGGGAGGGAGGGGAGGGGGGTGGTGTGGAAGAGAGAGAGTACCTGTAGCGTGCTATCCTTAAGAAGGAAATCTGTGACATTGTTGTGTGTTATCATACAAAGTGAGAGTCCCAAGTTTAACGCTCTATCCAAACCTGGAAACTCAATGAATTTCGAGGAAAAGAGAACCACCATTGTCGACATGCCTGAAAAATCTGGCATTTTTTCTAATGCAGAGCAGTGGTCCATGTGCAGGAAACCCAAACTTTTTGGTAAATCTGTAATCTCGACAAGGTTTCTGCAACCATTCAAGGATAGTATAAAAAGCTTGGAGAGGCCACTGAGGTTTGGAAGGCTCCCAAAATTATTGTCATCTAGACGTAACTCCACTAAACAAGGTAGACTACTCCCAATATCATTATGCACTTCCTCTATATTGTTGTCCTCCAAAATTAAGCTTGTCAAAGAGTGTAAACCTCGTAATGAAGGTAGCTGCAAAGAACACTTCAATTTACTCAAAGATAAGCGCTCGAGCTTCTCTAGTCGTATGATGGAAGGTGGTATTTTTTTTATGGCTGTTCCATCTGCATAAAGAGTGACCAATGATGCCATTTCTCCCAAGTGCTCAGACAAGCTTTGGAATCTTGAACAACCATCGAGAACAAGAGTTTTGACAGATTTCAACTTGTAGAAACTCCTCGGAAGAGCCTTAAGCGTTTCACAGTCTTTCAAATTCACCAACACAAGACTCTTGAGATCTCCGATGGACTTGTGAACTTTAGCCAACCTCTTACAATCTTTGAGTATCAATTTCTCAAGATTTGGGAATTTCGAAAAGTCTGGCGATTGTGTTAGATCGTGGGAGTGGCTGAGATTCAGAATCTTTAACTTATCAAGCAACTGTAAAGAAAAATCAAATTGAAATAAAAAATTTAAATCCATAAAAAAGATACAAAGAGCATAAAAATGATTCCTAATTTGGTTCAGGTTACGCATTGTACTTACCCCAGAATACTCACAAAGAACTTGTCTGAGGCTGCTGTACTGCATGTCGATAGCGACTATGTTTGGTTGACACAGTTCTATTGGTATGAACTCCAATGGGAATCCATGCCAGCACAACCATCTTAATTTTTTGGAAAGACATTGGTATCCCTCAGCGAGCCGAACGTAGTTTAGTTGGAGCAATCTCAGTCTCTTCATATTTCTAAACGCCTCAGTACTGAAACTAGTCTCTTTAAGACTCGGCAAATTCAAAGTCAGACCCTCAATTTTTTCAGTTCCCTGCTATCCGAAAAAACAGACTCCAAATAAGAGAAGGCTTTGCATGAAAAAAAGTTAGATTACTAACTTACATATGCTTACACGTTTAACATAAAGGTTGATTAGGAAAGTACTTACAGATTTGTCTATCAGTACATCATTTACATCTTCAGGATGCCACAATCTACTCCGTTCTCCAGGGAAATCGGGATTTTCTGCATGCACGATATCTCTGCCTATATCCTGAAGCAAATCATGCATCATAATCTTGTTTTCTCTATTAATAGTTACAAGGCACCGGTCAAGGAGGACCTTGATTCCTGTTGTTGCATAAAAGCCACAACCATCCAAGATTTGCACGACATCATTCTTGTCCATTCCGATAAAAAAACAAGCTATATCGAGGAATATCCGCCTCCTGTAATTATCATTTAGCCCGTCGTAGCTTATTTTCAGTTGTGCTTGAATTTCTCCACGAGGAATCATTTTCAATTCATCCAATATACTTTTCCATTCATCTACACTTTGTTTGAAAAGAGTAGATCCTAAAACTTCAAGAGCCAGCGGCAATCCTCCACAGTAATTGACAACTTCTTTTTCAAGCACAAGATATTGGCTAGGACAACTACTACTTCTGAAAGCATGCCAACTTAGGAGCTCAAGAGCTTCTTCTTGGTCCATTACTTTCACCCGATATATCTTATCAACTGCAAATTCTTTTAGCACACGTTCGTTTCTAGTTGTGATGATGATTCTACTCCCCAGGCCAAAAGAGTGGCAATTTCCAGCTAATTCGCGTAGCTGCTTCACATCATCTACATCATCAACTATGACAAGTACCTTTAAGCCTCGAAATCTTTCCCTTACCAAGGCGGTACCTGCAGCAACACTGTTTACCTTTGTCTTGGTTTGCAAGATATCGAAAAGAAGTTGTTTTTGCAATTTTTCTAGTTTCTTTTCCCTCACTTTTTCAAGGAAACTTTTACCTTCAAACCTTTCATAAAATCTGTTATAAATGGCTTTAGCAATCGTTGTTTTACCTATTCCACCCATGCCCAAAATTCCAATCACACGAACATCATATGAATCTCCGATGCCTAAATAATTACTAATATCTAGCACTCGAGTATCTATTCCAATTTGATAGGGCGCTACGTCAAAGTATTTGTTGTTCAACTTCGTAGTGACGTCATTGGTAATCATCCTGATAAACTTTGCTTCATGCCTGGCATTAGTCAAGTTGAGAAGCAAAACGAAGATTGTTATACAACGAAATTGAACTAATTAATACACAAATTATTTGTCATGAATAGAGATTTTAATTAAGGCATCTTTTTTTGAGGTGGTGTGTTTAAACTTAGCAAACATCAATTAAAATTAAAATTAAAATAAGAAACACAAACAAAAAACCAGCATCCCTTCCCTCCGCAGCCAGTCGCCGGCGTCTTCCCAACTGTGATTAGTGTAGCCTTAATAGTTTAAGCTTTATTGTATGATTTTATTACAGAGGTCTAAGAAATCGCATGATTCCAAATTAATAAGCAAAGGTACGTTAAAGCCTTAATTCATAAGAAACGAAATTAGTAAGTACCCGTCCAAAGTTTTTCTGAGATCCCAGCCAGACAAATTCGAAGCTTCAGTAAGAGCAGCTCTCCACCTCCCCACCTTTTTTTTATCTGTATGTTTCAGAAACGATTGTGCAAAACAACCAGTCTGTTTCCTGACATGCGAAGGATCAACATCATAGAATATCGGCAAAACTAATTGCCCTAGCGTTATTCTACACTCCATGATCTTAACCAGCTCCTCGAGACACCAGCTGGAGTCGGAGTACCGTCTTGAGAAGACGATGATAGAGATCCTAGAACCCTGGATTGCCCGCACAAGTTCGGTAGTTAGATCTTCTCCTCTTCTTAGTTCGTCGTCAATAAAGGCGTTGATTCCGGCCTTTGTCAATGCTTCGTGGAGGTGGCCCGTGAAGTTTTTACGTGTGTCTTCGCCTCTGAAGCTTATGAACACTTCGTAGAGCGAGCCTTTTGAGAAGGAGGACAAGGACGGGGAGGCGGAGGAGGACAATGAGGATGAGATTGAGGGTGAGGACGTGGAGGAGGCGGAGGAGGATGAGGAGGATGAGGCGGAGGAGGACGATGAGGACGAAGGCGAGGATGAGGCTTTATCGGGGACTGAGATATTCATTTGGCGAAAGACGAGGCCGAGGGAGCAGAGGAGGAAGATGAGGACATCAAAGACAAGACCAGAATTGCGATGAGCATAGTGGAAAGACAGTAACACCAACACCATAATTAACAAATTCCCGAAGCTCGACCAGTTATCCATTGCCTTCAATTTCGTTAGGCAAATTGAAGGTTGTTTGGCTATATTGATTTTCATTTTTTTCTACCGGAACTACTTTCTTCTTATGATTAATAAACCCGCGTACGCCGTCATAGTGGACTGTAGACAGTATTGTTGACTGTAGACTTGAGTATTGGTAAGTTGACTTGTGGTTTTTTTTTTTCCACTATAACGCCAAATTCTACGCGGTAAGTTGACTTGTGGTTCTACACCCTTCTTATGATTAATAAACCCGCGTACGCCGTCGTAGTGGACTGTAGACAATATTGTTGACTGTAGACTTGAGTATTGGTAAGTTGACTTGTGGTTCTACTTCCTAAATTTTGGGAGGTGCTCTTTTTTTTTTTTCCACTATAACGCCAAATTCTACGCGGTAAGTTGACTTGTGGTTCTACACCCTAAATTCTACGAGGCGCCCTTTTCATTCCACTTTAACGCGAAATTCTACGCGGTGATGAGAGATTTTTCAGTTTCTAGGAACACAGTCCAGTACATTACACCACTTATAAAACAACTTCAAGAGGGCTAGTTTGAAAGTATCCTACTGCAAAATTTGATTTGGTTTGGACCAAATTTTGATTTAGATGAAAACTAGCAACAGTGCTTGCGCGTTGCTGCGGGTGTTTAAAATGTTTTGATATTATGTACATACAGAAAACATAATTTATTAAAGCTAGATTTCTTTACCTAAGATAGAGGTTGACAGTGTTCATATTATCAAAAGTTGGCAGTGTCCAATTGCTCACTGTTCAAATGATAGAGTTGCTATAAAAGCTTAATTCATGTACATAAGTTCATAGTATCATGTACTCAAAATAATCATAGTATCAAAAGATTGGCAGTCTTCAACTGCTCATCGTTCAAATACAAAAATGTACATATGTCCGTATCAGAAGGTTGGCACCGCACATCTGCTGTGTTTATGATTTTTCCTGTTCAATCTCTGGTCTTGCTTGTTTGGGAATGGCCATCCTTTTTCTTGGCCACCATGCTGTTGAATTGGTGCCTTTTGCCCAGGATTTTTCTCTTGCTATATATTACGAATTGGAATCAGTAAGAATTCCATATAACAAACTAAATTTGTCAATCTATTTAACTTAGTGCGAACTTCATCAAACAACCAAGAAGTATAATCCAGCAAGGTTATTTTCTCTTTTTTTTTTTAATCAAAATGAATTCTACTGTTCCCATCTATTTGCACATCCCTTTAAATTATCCAAAAACACAAAAGAAATATATCTTGATCCATACCAATTAATGATTTCCCATTTACTTAAGTCAAACATCAAAGCCAACGAACTGATGAAGGAGCTATTATTCAATTATATGGAGATTTACCTGATTGTACAAAAGGTTTGAAAATTACCGTAAAATTTGAAAAAAGAGATGAGATGGAGTGGAAATCACATACCAGCATCAGGCTTAAATTTGTAGTGTTCATCTGAGAGAGCAGTGATAGTCTGATGAGAGTGTAGGGAGAGAAACAAAATGCAAATCGTAAGAGTTTGAGAGAAACCGCTTGAGGGACACTGCAGATTGATCGTTGAGATTTGAGAAACTGAGGAAGTAGCAATTTGAGACGAACTGCTTTGCATCAAAACGTGTTGGAGTTTCTCTCCTCCGCGTTTGAATAGAAGAGGTAGTTTCAGAGCTGTCTGCAATTAGTCCTATCAGGAGCTTCTGCACTGGTTGATGTCTCGGTCTTTTCCTTAGTGGCACGTGCATTGTAGACTTGGGTAGATGAAAAGTAGAAAGAAAATAAAAATATAAAGTCAAAGTTACTACTTCACTATCTATGTTGCTTCATGTCCCACGCATAATAAGAATAGTGAATCATTTTTCATCTCGTGCACTGGTTTGTCATTGTCATTCGAATTCACAAATCCATTTACTCCGAATTTCTTAGTTATCACCAGGGAAAGAGTGTTATAAGCAAAAATCTATTTCTAGGTTTTCCCACTAAACTACCTGTTAAACCAATCAAAATGGGAAAAAATTATATATACCTTTGTCAAATGTCTTGGGATTCAAGTCCACCGACTCCACCCCAATACTCAGTGGCGCCCCAGAAATCTTGCACCTTCAGTAGCCAAGATCATGCATGTATCAGTATGAATACGGAAGTGAAAATAAATGCAATTTATTAGAATAAAGAATATGGGATCAACAAAGTTTGTCCAAACTTACAGCGAGGCCAATAAACAGCAACTGAAGTTAATTTTTCGTTTTGCTACATGAGAGGGGCACCCAAAATTCCAAACCTGTCGATACGGCACAACTAAGGATGCAAACTTTATCCAACTGAGCAAGGGGCTTGATCTTGGAAAGACGGCCAGAATGAACAACAATGTATTCACTTAAGTAAAAGTGCGAAGACAATGATTGGTGAACGTTATTTTCCAGCTGGGTTAGTTTGGCTATTCCTTTCCATTGAAAAGGAGTCAGCTGTCTGCGTGAGTCACCACATTTTGCTTCATGGCAAAAAATTTGAGTGATCAATAGTGTATGGCCTTGAATCCCAAAAGGAAAAAATAACTCAACTAAGCATATATAATATTAAACATAAAAAGGGTAACATCAACCACATCCCATAGGAGAACAATTAAACGCCACTCTCTCAGTTTTGAGTACAACCACATCCCATATTTTATGCTCTAATTCATCAGTAACCTCCAAGAACCTAATTGTCCGATAAACACTCTAGCATTAACAACCCAAGAATTATAAACATGCTTATTGCCAAAAATGATAAACATGTTTACCTTGACTTCATTTTTAATGGCATATGTAACATACTTTCCATCTGCATTAAAATAACCTTCTTCCCTCTCCTTGTTAATCAAGTTGGAAGGTTCTGTTTGAATCCCATCCGCAACAAGGTCCTTGTAATCCTGCCAAAAGATACCACCAATCACTGGCTATCACTTCCGTTGATCCAAACGAGCTTCCTGCGTCACATACACTAGATCAAGTTGGTGTCATGACATGATGACATAAATTGAAAAGCAGACAAGATCAAGAAGATCCAAAATTATTGATATATAATTATAGTAAATAATTGCACATCAAAAACTCTAGAGGAAGATAGATGAATCTCCATATCAGGAAACCAAAGAACATGACGCTACTAAGGACTGTTGCTTCACATGCATATCTGCTACTATTTTAAAACAATTATGTTAGAACAAGTATAAGAGAGAGGAAAAAGGACTACAGAACCGAAAATGAAAAGGGGGAAAACCTGGAATGCCATGCAGTGCCTAAATCACTACTTGGCAACAAAAGCGCCCCGCTATGCTTCATGACGTCACTTTCAAAACTATTATCCAAGGATAACGACACATACAAAGACTTCTCATCCCCAGATACATCTGATTTGCTGTTAAGTGCCTTATATTGTCTACTTGCTGCCATAAACGCATGCTTAGCAGCCTCATATAACGAAAAAAGAACTTGCATTGAAATCCCCAACTTATGATCCCTATTCCAAAAAACTGAGTTGCCATCAGCTGAGTGCAGCACACTTCATCTCTGGGTTCAATCAAGAGGAAAGAACAATATATAAGACGATGGCATTACTACATATTCCGAAAACATAACTGAGAACCCTTCCAAAATTTTAAAAAAAAAAAAAAAAAAAAAAAAAAGAAAGAGAATTGTTTTCCTTAGTTTTTTCCTTTAGTATGTAGATGCTTTGTTTTTTCCTTTAGTATGTAGATGCTTTGCTTGATGTTCTCATTTTTGTTTGATACTTGGTTGGTTGCCTCAGAAGCCAATTGTTTTCCTTATTTTGACTGTGCCTGCATTCTTATAACCTTTCGTGGATTTTGCTGTTTTTCACTACGTTTTGATTCATCTACTTCTCATAGAATTTGTGAATTTTGACTGTTATTGAAATCTTAAAACTTATATCTGTCTGCTTTATCACCATCTCTAGGTTGTCAGAGATAAGAGGACTGGAAAAACCAAGGGCTTTGGATTTGTTAGCTTTGCCAACCCATCTGACCTGGCCGGAGCACTAAAGGAAATGAATGGTGTGTAAAATATTAACTCGTATGGTGATTCTACTTTTCGTTGATAGTACTAAGAATCATAGAGGTTGTTGATATGTTTTTACTTGTATGATAATGGTTGTATATAATTAATCTGCAATAATTCCAGGTAAGTATGTGGGCAATCGGCCAATCAAACTACGCAAGAGTAACTGGAGGGAGAGGATAGACTATGACGCACTAGAAAGACAAAAGGTACCATTTCCATTTGTTTTGCGTAGTTTCAAATTTATGGCTTTCCAAAAGGTAACTTGTACTCACCAAGTGTTCCTGCTTTATTTCATTTGTGGCAGAACCACACTCACAAGAAACCAAAGCCTTCGAAGAAGAGCATATTGCACAAGTGAGCTAGAGACTCGTGGGCGACGTCGTGAATATGGAAATTGGGGCAGTGAAGCTTAATGATGATAATTTGAACGAATGATAGTATGCGACGTGCATTTTTTTTCGTGTGTTATACGGGGATTAGTGGAGGATCCTTTTAAATACTAATTAAATAGGTTCGATCAAGTATATTGAAATGTGGTTCAGCGTGTTTGGGACATGGTTCGGTACAACAAATGCCTAATACAAGTGGTTAGATTCTTTATGTTTCAAGTTCAGCTTAAATTTGTCATTCAGTAATTGAAAATCAAGAATCGTGTTAACTAAACGCTTCTTGATTCAATTTCATGTCCTTACTTTCATATTCTAAGTGAGTTAACATGTCACAATGGTCGAATGGATAATGTCTCTTTCCTTTACTCGTTTTATGTTCACCACTTTCTCTCGTCCTCTTTTGGTTCATTCTCTCACCCGTAAAAAACCAATTATATTAACGAAGTAGGCTAAACCAAACCGTGCTCATCCTTGTTTAATTTAGTTGAAGTTGTATAGAATCTACAACTTCGGTAAGATAGAACGTTTTGCCATAAATCTTTTCCTTAGAATCTACAACTTCGGTAAGATAGAACGTTTTGCCATAAATCTTTTCTGTTAGGGTTGAAAGGAGATGTTGTTTTTGAGGAATTTGTTTTCGAGGAATGACTTAGATGGGTTCACAGAGGATGAAGCCGAGCATCTCTATATATCTTGTGTTTCTTCTGTGTGAAATTGTGAATTATTAGTCGTCATCAAAATTGTTAGTAGCAGATTAGAATTTTTAGGTTTCAAATTTTTTGTTACAAACTAATGTGTTTACAATCAAGTTGAAGTAGTTTTGAACCAACAGATGGAAATAATATGTTGATGATTTTGTCTTCTTTTCGAATGCTGACTTTATAAGTTATTCAGGAATGCGAGTAAAACACCAAAACATACCGGAAGCAATAGTTAGTTGACAAGTCCCAGAGAATGATGGGAGGAGGCATACGCTGATGCTTACAGTTGGCGACTACATGAGAAGAAAAGGGATTCTCTGAACATATTAAAAACAGATCAAGGCATGCAAAAAAATACAGACTCTATCTGCAAACTAGCTGATTAAACCAGAATGTTTCCTAGCTTTGGTCCACCTCATCATTGGCTTCCGCACCTTGTTGGTCATCATCTTCTTCTTGTTCCCTTTCCTCCTCAAACTCCTCATAAAAATCCTCCTCGTCATCCCCATCAAAATCCTCATCGTGTTGTCATCATCCTCATCAAAATCATCATCTTCATAATCCCCATCAAAATCATCAACTTCGGTAGAAATTTTTTCTAAGGCCCGTTCGTAAGGGATATAATGGTAATCAAATAACGAACCTTCGAAAGTCATAAGTTTGTCGCATACTAAACGTACCCCTATTTTCTTCACCGAACCATGTGCAATAACATGGACCAATCGTCTTCTTCCAAATTGAACTCAGTTTCCAACAACGATAAATTTCCCAACCAAAGGATCTCTTCAAGGGGAAAAATATCTACTATTTAGACATAAAAACTAGTACCCTTGGTGTGATTAATAACATAAATATAACATGAGCTGACGTAATCATAAGGAATAGAAGCCAGGCACACAGCCAACGCTTTTGCATTACAACCAATTTCCTTAGGCACTTCAAAAGAGACTTGGGAACCCTCGTTGACATGATTGAACCAAGTGGGAATTTGTCTTCCTACAAGAGCCATGGATCGACCTCCTGTCCATCCCTATACCATGTTGAACAAGATTTGTGTGAGTAATACAAACATAACACACATATTTGCGAGGGAGGGAGGGGAGAGGGGTGGTGTGGAAGAGAAAGAGTACCCGTAGCGTGCTATCCTTAAGAAGGAAATCTATGACATTGTTGTGTGTTATCATACAAAGTGTGAGTCCCAAGTTTAACGCTCTATCCAAACCTGGAAACTCAATGAGTTTCGAGGAAAAGAGAATCACCGTTGTCGACATGCCTGAAAAATCTGGCATTTTTTCTAATGCAGAGCAGTCGTCCATGTGCAGGAAACCCAAACTTTTTGGTAAATCTGTAATCTCGACAAGGTTTCTGCAACCATTCAAGAATAGTAAAAGAAGCTTGGAGAGGCCACTGAGGCTTGGAAGGCTCCCAAAATTATTGTCATCTAGACGTAACTCCACTAAACAAGGTAGACTACTCCCAATATCATTATGCACTTCCTCTATATTGTTGTCCTCCAAAATTAAGCTTGTCAAAGAGCGTAAACCTCGTAATGAAGGTAGCTGCAAAGAACACTTCAATTTACTCAAAGATAAGAGCTCGAGCTTCTCTAGTCGTACGATGGAAGGTGGTACTTTTTTTATGTCTGTTCCATCTGCATAAAGAGTGACCAATGATGCCATTTCTCCCAAGTGCTGAGACAAGCTTTGGAATCTTGAACAACCATCGAGAACAAGAGTTTTGATAGATTTCAACTTGTAGAAACTCCTCGGAAGAGCCTTATGCGTTTCACAGTCTTTCAAATTCACCAACACAAGACTCTTGAGATCTCTGATGGACTTGTGAACTTTAGCCAACCTCTTGCAGTCTTTGAGTATCAATTTCTCAAGATTTGGGAATTTTGAAAAGTCTGGCGATTGTGTTAGATCGTGGGAGTGGCTGAGATTCAGAATCTTTAACTTATCAAGCAACTGTTAAGAAAAATCAATTTGAAATAAAAAATTTAAATCCAAAAAGAAGATACAGAGAGCATAAAAATGATTCCTAATTTGGTTCAGGTTACGCATTGTACTTACCCCAGAATACTCACAAAGAACTTGTCTGAGGCTGCCGTATTGCATGTTGATAGCGACTATGTTTGGTTGACACAGTTCTATTGGTATGAACTCCAATGGGAATCCATGCCAGCACAACCATCTTAATTTTTTGGAAAGACATTGGTATCCCCCAGCGAGCCGAGCGTAGTTTAGTTGGAGCAATCTCAGTCTCTTCATATGTCTAAACACCTCAGTACTGAAACTAGTCTCTTTAAGACTCGGCAAATTCAAAGCCAGACCTTCAATTTTTTCAGTTCCCTGCTATCCGAAAAAACAGACTCCAAATAAGAGAAGGCTTTGCATGAAAAAAAGTTAGATTACTAACTTACATATGCTTACACGTTTAACTTAAAGTTTGATTAGGAAGGTACTTACAGATTTGTCTATCAATACATCATTTACATCTTTAGGATGCCACAATCTACTTCATTCTCCAGGGAAATCGAGATTTTCGGCATGCACGATATCTCTGCCCATATCCCGAAGCAAATCATGCATCATAATCTTGTTTTCTCTATTAATAGTTACAAGGCACCGGTCAAGGAGGACCTCGATTCCTATTGTTGCATAAAAGCCACAACCATCCAAGATTTGCACGACATCATTCTTGTCCATTCCGATAAAAAAACAAGCTATATCGAGGAATATCCGCCTCTTGTAATTATCATTTAGCCCGTCGTAGCTTATTTTCAGTTGTGCTTGAATTTCTCCATGAGGAATCATTTTCAATTCCTCCAATATACTTTTCCATTCATCTACACTGCGTTTGAAAAGAGTAGATCCTAAAACTTCAAGAGCCAGCGGCAATCCTCCACAGTAATTGACAACTTCTTTTTCAAGCACAAGATATTGACTAGGACAACTACTACTTCTGAAAGCATGCCAACTTAGGAGCTCAAGAGCTTCTTCTTGGTCCATTACTTTCGCCCGATATATCTTATCAACTGCAAATTCTTTTAGCACACGTTCGTTTCTAGTTGTGATGATGATTCTACTCCCCGGGCCAAAAGGGTGGCAATTTCCAGCTAATTCTCTTAGCTGCTTCACATCGTCTACATCATCAACTATGACAAGTACCTTTAAGCGTCGAAATCTTTCCCTTACCAAGGCGGTCCTTGCAGCAACACTGCTTACCTTTGTCTTGGTTTGCAAGATATCGAAAAGAAGTTGTTTTTGCAATTTTTCTAGTTTCTTTTCCCTCACTTTTTCAAGGAAACTTTTACCTTCAAACCTTTCATAAAATCTGTTATAAATGGCTTTAGCAATCGTTGTTTTACCTATTCCACCCATGCCCAAAATTCCAATCACACGAACATCATATGAATCTCCGATGCCAAAATAATTACTGATATCTAGCACTCGAGTATCTATTCCGACTTGATAGGGCGCTACGTCGAAGTATTTGTTGTTCAACTTCATAGTGACGTCATTGGTAATTGTAACATCCCGTCCCGGGATTTACGTAAGAAAATGGGTATTTTTATATTTTCACTAAGTTTGAGGATACCTTCCTTTTTAAAATTGTTTTTGAGGCTTAATTGGTGAGCCCAAAGGGCCCACCCCCTGTTTTGTCCCCCGTTCCTTCCCTTTCCCTTTTCTTTTATTTCTTCTTACTCTCTCTCTCTCTCTTTCTTTCTCTTTGTCTTTCTCTCCCTCCCTCCGAGCAGAAAACACACACACACACACACACACACACACCCATGCCCACACCTATAGCCCTTTTCGAACCCCATGGTTGTGTTTTGGACGTCAAATCATGTCGGAGACATTTCCCCTGTTTTCCGGCGAGCACCGCCTCTTTCGAGGCAATTTCCGGCCAAACCACGGCGATTTGGCCGGCGTTCAAGGTATCAATCTCTTCGTTTCGCTGAGTACTACAACTTTCCTTTTTGTTTCACCCAATTTTATTGAGTATTGAAGAAGTTATGCTCATTTGAATCTTACCCAGTTTCCGGCGGACACCCGTGGCTTCCAGGCTGTTTTCCGGCCAACTCCGGCCACAATGACGGGAACCAAGTGTATATTTTGATTCCTTACCTTCGGGGCTTCAATTTGGTATATTGAATGACATGTTTTGGTTGAGTTTTGAGCTCCAACGGAGCTTGGGAATTCTCCGGCTAAAATCTGGCCTTCTCCTTCTTGGAATCCGGCGAACACCCAAGGCCTTTGGGCTTTTCCTGCCAAGCCCAAAACCTAGGCAGCCCAACCCAACACCCTTTGTAATTAGGCCTTTGGGCCGTTTGTTTTAGGGCCTCTGGCCCGTTAACCCTAAACCCATTAGACCCAAACCCTTAGGCCCAACCCGTATCCAACCCAAGTCCAAACCCAATACCCAAACCCAACCCTAAAACCTAAACCCATTTACCCTAACCCAAAGCCCTAAAGCCCAAACTCGTGACCCTGACCCGTTGACCCGTGACCCGTTGACCCGTTGACCGTTGACCCGGTCAACGGTCAGCGTTGACTTTGACTTTGACCGGTCAACGGTCAACGTTGACTTTGACCGGTCAACGGTCAACGTTGACTTTGACCGGTGACTGTGTGCTCAGAGACGGGGAGCCGGCATGGGGCCTGGAGAGTTGTATCGGACATTCACTAGTGTTTATGATATTTACATGTTATGATTTGAGATATTGCACGACATGCTAGGTTTCGGAAAACCTATGTTTATCATTATATATATGTGTTTTCATAAAACCTGGGGGTTAGTATGTTGATAACTGTTTTATTATATATATATATATATATCAACTTGGTCCACTCATGTTTGTTTTGCGCCCCCTTCAGGACTTAGAATCGAGGCGTACAATCCCGACGTCCAGGCACATTCGCATCGGCATCTTCGAGTCCTCTCGGTATAGGACCCACTCATTTGTTTCGTTCAATTTTATATTATTTTCTTTTAGTGTTCTAAATTAGTGGTGTGCTCTGAACACGGTCCTTATTTGCATATTCATTATTCTTTTATATTTATAAACCTTATTTATCCCTTGTTTTCAGCATTTGCACTTAATAAATGGCTTTCGTCACCCTCGGGTGTCGGTCAGCACGTGCTTATCCTGGTATTGGGGGAATATCGGGGTCGGGGCATGTCAGTAATCATCCTGATAAACTTTGCTTCATGCCTGTCATTAGTTAAGTTGAGAAGCAAAAAGAAGATTGTTAATACAACAAAATTGAACTAATTAATACACAAAATTATTTATCATGAATAGAGATTTTAATTAAGACATCTTTTTTTTGAGGTGGTGTGTTTAAACTTAGCAAACATCAATTAAAATTAAAATTAAAATAAGAAACACAAACAAAAAAACCAGCATCCCATCCCTCCGCAGCCAGTCGCCGGCGGCTTCCCAACTGTGATTAGTGTAGCCTTAACAGTTTAAACTTTATTGTATGATTTTGTTACAGAGGTCTAAGAAATCGCATGATTCCAAATTAATAAGCAAAGGTACGTTAAAGCCTTAATTCATAAGACAAGAAATTAGTAAGTACCCGTCCAAAGTGTTTTCTGAGATCCCAGCCAAACAAATTCGAAGCTTCAGTGAGAGCAGCTCTCCACCTCTCTACCTTTTTCTCATCTGTATGTTTGAGAAATGATTGTGCAAAACAACCAGTCTGTTTCCTGACATGCGAGGGATCAACATCATAGAATATCGGCAAAACTAATTGCCCTAGCGTTCTTCTACACTCCATGATCTTAACCAGCTTCTCGAGACACCAGCGGGAGTCAGAGTACCTTCTTGAGAAGACGATGATAGAGATCCTAGAACCCCGGATTGCCCGCACAAGTTCGGTAGTTATGTCTTCTCCTCTTCTTAGTTCGTCGTCAATAAAGGCGTTGATTCCGGCCCTTGTCAATGCTTTGTGGAGGTGGCCCGTGAAGTTTTTACGTGTGTCTTCGCCTCTGAAGCTTATGAACACTTCATAAAGCGAGCCTTTTGAGAAGAAGGACAAGGACGAGGAGGCGTAGGAGGACGATGAGGATGAGATTGAGGGTGAGGAGGTGGAGGAGGACGAGGAGGATGAGGTTGAGGCAGAGGAGGTAGAGGAGGACGATGAGGACGAGGGCGAGGGCGAGGACGAGGACGAGGACAAGGTTTTATCAGGGACGGAGATATTCATTTGGCGAAGGACGAGGTTGAGAGAGCAGAGGAGGAAGATGAGGACATTAAAGACAAGATCGGAATTGCGATGAGCATAGTGGTAGGACAGTAACACCAGCACCATAATTAACAACTTCCCTAAGCTCAACCAGTTATCCATTGCCTTCAATTTCTTTAGGCAAATTGAAGGTTGTTTGGCGATATTGATTTTCTTTTTTTCTACCGGAACTACGTTCTTCTTCTTATAATTAATAAATCCGCCTACGCGGTGCAGTTGACTGAAGACTTGAGTCTTGGTAAATTGAGTTGGGGTTCTACACCCTAAATTCTAGGAGGTGCTCTATTTTTCCACTATAATGCTAAATTCTACATGGAAAGTTGACTTGTGGTTCTACACCCTAAATTCTACGAGGCGCCATTTTCATTCCACTTTAACGACAAATTCTACGCGGTGTCTTATGGTTCACACAATGATGCATTAATTATACATTGAAAATTTATAGCACGCTTTTGGAAAATATGATCTCTTGCATCCCCAAAGTCAATTTCAATTTGCATGGGAATTGACAATGTGTGTGTGTGTGTGTGTGGGCATTCATAATAATGCCAAGTTTTCAACATTTCTTTTATTCTACTGGAACTACTTATTCTTCTTATAATTAATAAACCCGCCTATGCGGCGTAGTTGACTGAAGGCTTGAGTCTAGGTAAATTGACTTGTGGTTCTACACCCTAAATTCTAGGAGGTGCTCTTTTTTTCCACTATAATGCCAAATTCTACACTGTAAGTTGACTTGTGGTTCTACACCCTAAATTCTACGAGGCGCCATTTTCATTCCACTTTAACGCCAAATTCTACGCAGTGCCTTATGGTTCACACAATGATGCATTAATTATACATTGAAAATTTACAACACCCTTTTGGAAAATATGATCTCCTGCAGCCCCAAAGTCAATTTCAATCTGTATGAGAATTGACAATGTGTGTGTGTGTGTGTGTGTGTGTGTGTGTGTGTGTGTGTGTGTGTGGGCATTCATAATAATGCCAAGTTTTCAACATTTCTTTTATTCTACCGGAACTACTTTCTTCTTCTTATAATTAATAAACCCGCCTATGCGGCGCAGTTGACTGAAGACTTGAGTCTAGGTAAATTGACTTGTGGTTCTACACCCCAAATTATAGGAGGTGCTCTTTTTTCCCACTATAATGCCAAATTCTACACAGTAAGTTGACTTGTGGTTCCTTATGGTTCACACAATGATGAGAGATTTTTCAGTTTATATGAACACAGTCCAGTACACTACACCAGTTATAAAACAACTTCAAGAGGGCTAGTTTGAAAATATCCTACTGCAAAATTTGATTTGGTTTGGACCGAATTTTGATTTAGATGAAAACTAGCAAGTGCTCGCGCGTTGCTGCGGGTGTTTAAAATGTTTTGATAATACGTACATACAGAAAACATAATTTATTAAAGCTAGATTTCTATACCTAAGATAGAGGTTGACAGTGTTCATAATTATCAAAAGTTGGCAGTGTCCAATTGCTCACTGTTCAAATGGTAGAGATGCTATAAAAGCTTAATTCATGTACATAAGTTCATAGTATCATGTACTCAAAATAATCATAGTATCAAAAGATTGGCAGTCTTCAACTGCTCATCGTTCAAATACGAAAATATACATTTGTCCATATCAGAAGGTTGGCACCGCACATCTGCTGTGTTTATGATTTTTCCTGTTCAATCTCTGGTCTTGCTTGTTTGGGAATGGCCATCCTTTTTCTTGGCCACCATGCTGTTGAATTGGTGCCTTTTGCCCAGGATTTTTCTCTTGCTATATATTACGAATTGGAATCAGTAAGAATGCCATATAAAAAACTAAATATGTCAATCTATTTAACTTAGTGCGGACTTCATCAAACAACCAAGAAGTATAATCCAGCAAGGTTATTTTCTCTTTTTGTTTTTAAATCAAAATGAATTCTACTGTTCCCATCTATTTGCACATCCCTTTAAATTATCCAAAAACACAAAAGAAATATATCTTGATCCATACCAATTAATGATTTCCCATTTACTTGAGTCAAACGTCAAAGCCAATGAACTGATGAAGGAGCTAAAAAAGAGATGAGATGGAAGGAAATCACATACCAGCATCAGGCTTAAATTTGTAGTGCTCATTTGAGAGAGCAGTGATAGTGTTGATGAGAGTGTAGGGAGAGAAACAAAATGCAAATCGTAAGAGTTTGAGAGAACCGCTTGAGGGACACTGCAGATTGATCGTTGAGATTTGAGAAACAAAGGAAGCTGCAATTTGAGACGAACTGCTATGCATCAAACGTGGTGGAGTTTCTACGTTTGAATAGAAGAGGTAGTCTCAGAGCTGTCTGCAATTAGTCCTATCAGGAGCTTCTGCACTGGTTGATGTCTCGGTGTTTTCCTTAGTCGCATGTGCATTGTAGACTTGGGTAGATGAAAAGTAGAAAGAAAATAAAAATATAAAGTCAAAGTTACTACTTAACTATCTATGTTGATTCATGTCCCATGCATAATAAGAATAGTGAATCATTTTTCATCTCGTGCACTGGTTTATAAGGATGAAGACGATAGGCGGAAGCTCATAGAGATGTCTAAACTTCAAAGAGATCTAATTCTGTCTGAAAGAGCACAGAAGAAAGATGAAAAGAGTTTATGTTGTATTTGGCTCATACATTTGTGAGTAATTATAAGTCACAAATGTTGAGAGATGCTTCTCGTAGTGAAGATGATGGATCATCAGGGGATGATGTGATCATTGACAGTGATGATGAAAAGTCAGAGGGACTAACTTTTGATGATATAAAGGAGATTACCATTGGAAGGTCGAAACTTGCAAAGTGGTTTATTGAGCCCTTCTTGGAAGAGTTAATTGTGGTTTGCGTTGTAAAGGTTGGAATTGGGAGGTTATTATCAGTGGTAGGAGCAGTATAGGCAGGCATGGCAGCAACTGCAGTAGCTTTGGAAGTTGCGGTTGGCGCGGGGAAGTTGATTGATACGAGTGCCCCTGTTGATTTTGGAACAGAGTCAAATCTAAAGCATAATTTTGAGCTGCCAATATCATTGGCTGCTCTTCAGAAGTTCGGAAAGGCACAGGGTGCTCAGAAGGGGTTCCTGGTAAGAAAGCAGCGAATAGAAGCAATCGTTAGGTGCCAAGTCCCAGAGAATGATGGGAGGAGGCAACTACATGAGAAGAAGAGGGATTCTCTGAACATATTAAAAACCTTAAATGCATTAATAAGTTAAATTAAACCACCACAGAAACAAGAAAGTTCAAAAAGAGAGAACATATTAAAAACAGATCAAGGCATGCAAAAAAATACAGACTATCTGTAAACTAGCTGATTAAACCAGAAAGTTTCCTAGCTTACATAGTCGTCGGTGTCTGGGTCCTCCTCATCATCATCATTTTCAATACCATCTGCACCTTGTTGATCCTCATCATCTTCTTGTTCCACCTCCTCTTCCTCATGAAACTCCTCATCAAAGTCCTCCTCAGCATCCCCATCAAAATCCTCATCGTGTTGTCATCATCCTCATCAAAATCATCATCTTTATAATCCCCATCAAAATCATCAACTTCGGTAGAAATTTTTTCCAAGGCCCGTTCGTAAGTTTGTCGCATACTAAACCTACCCCTACTTTCTTCGCTCGACAATGTGCAATAACATGGACCAAATCGCTTTCTTCCAAATTGAACTCATTATCTGACAACGATAAATTTGCCAGCCAAAGGATCTCTTCAGGGGGAAAACTATCCACTAGTTCGACACAAAAACTAGTACCCTTGGTGTGATTAATAACATAAATATAACATGAGCTGATGTAATCATGAGGAACAGAAGCCAGGCACACAACCAATGCTTTTGCATTACAACCAATTTCCTTAGGCACTTCAAAAGAGACTTGGGTACCTTCGTTGACATGACTGAACCAAGTGGAATTTGTCTTCCTACAAGAGTCATGGTTCCACCTCCTGTCCATCCCTATACCATGTTGAACAAGATTTGTGTGAGTAATACATACATAACACACATATTTGTGAGGGGCGGGGGAGATGGGGGTGGTGTGGAAGAGAGAGAGAGTACCTGTAGCGTGCTATCCTTAAGAAGGAAATCTATGACATTGTTGTGTGTTGTCATACAAAGTGAGAGTCCCGAGTTTAATGCGTTATCCAAGCCTGGAAACTCAATGAGTTTTGGGGAAAAGAGAATCACCCATGTCGACATGCCTGATAAATCTGGCATTCTTTCTAATGCAGAGCAGTTGTTCATGTCCAGGAAACCCAAACTTTTTGGTAAATCTGTAATCTTGACAAGGTTTCTGCAACCATTCAAGGATAGTATAAAAAGCTTGGAGAGGCCACTGAGGCTTGGAAGGCTCCCAAAATTATTGTCATCTAGACGTAACTCCTCTAAACAAGGTAGACTACTCCCAATATCATTATGCACTTCCTCTATATTGCTGTCCATCAAAATTAAGCTTCTCAAATAGCAAAGAACACTTCAATTTACTCAAAGATAAGAGCTCGAGCTTCTCTAGTTGTACGATGGAAGGTGGTACTTTTTTTATGGCCGTTCCATCTGCATGAAGAGTGACCAATGATGCCATTTCTCCCAAGTGCTCAGACAAGCTTTGGAATCTTGAACAACCATCGAGAACAAGAGTTTTGACATATTTCAACTTGTAGAAACTCCTCGGAAGAGCCTTAAGCGTTTCACAGTCTTTCAAATTCACCAACACAAGACTCTTGAGATCTCCGATGGACTTGTGAACTTTAGCCAACCTCTTACAGTCTTTGAGTATCAATTTCTCAAGATTTGGGAATTTCGAAAAGTCTGGCGATTGTGTTAGATCGTGGGAGTGGTTGAGATTCAGAATCTTTAACTTATCAAGCAACTGTAAAGAAAAATCAAATTGAAATAAAAAATTTAAATCCAAAAAAAAGATTCAAAGAGCATAAAAATGATTCCTAATTTGGTTCAGGTTACGCATTGTACTTACCCTAGAATACTCACAAAGAACTTGTCCGAGGCTGCTGTACTGCATGTCGATAGCGACTATGTTTGGTTGACACAGTTCTATTGGTATGAACTGCAATGGGAATCCATGCCAGCAGAACCATCTTAATTTTTTGGAAAGACATTGGTATCCCCCAGCGAGCCGAACGTAGTTTAGTTGAAGCAATCCCAGTCTCTTCATATTTCTAAACGCCTCAGTACTGAAACTAGTCTCTTTAAGACTCGGCAAATTCAAAGCCAGACCTTCAATTTTTTCAGTTCCCTGCTATCCGAAAAAACAGACTCCAAATAAGAGAAGGCTTTGCATGAAAAAAGTTAGATTACTAACTTACATATGCTTACACGTTTAACTTAAAGTTTGATTAGGAAGGTACTTACAGATTTGTCTATCAATACATCATTTACATCTTCAGGATGCCACAATCTACTTCGTTCTCCAGGGAAATCGGGATTTTCGGCATGCACGATATCTCTGCCCATATCCCGAAGCAAATCATGCATCATAATCTTGTTTTCTCTATTAATAGTTACAAGGCATCGGTCAAGGAGGACCTCGATTCCTGTTGTTGCATAAAAGCCATAACCATCCAAGATTTGCACGACATCATTCTTGTTCATTCCGATAAAAAAACAAGCTATATCGAGGAATATCCGCCTCTTGTAATTATCATTTAGCCCGTCGTAGCTTATTTTCAGTTGTGCCTGAATTTCTCCACGAGGAATCATTTTCAATTCCTCTACACTTCGTTTGAAAAGAGTAGATCCTAAAACTTCAAGAGCCAGCGGCAATCCTCCACAGTAATTGACAACTTCTTTTTCAAGCACAAGATATTGACTAGGACAACTACTACTTCTGAAAGCATGCCAACTTAGGAGCTCAAGAGCTTCTTCCTGGTCCATTACTTTCGCCCGATATATCTTATCAACTGCAAATTCTTTTAGCACATGTTCGTTTATAGTTGTGATGATGATTCTACTCCCCGGGCCAAAAGAGTGGCAATTTCCAGCTAATTCACTTAGCTGCTTCACATCGTCTACATCATCAACTATGACAAGTACCTTTAAGCGTTGAAATCTTTCCCTTACCAAGGCGGTCCCTGCAGCAACACTGCTTACCTTTGTCTTGGTTTGCAAGATATCGAAAAGAAGTTGTTTTTGCAATTTTTCTAGTTTCTTTTCCCTCACTTTTTCAAGGAAACTTTTACCTTCAAACCTTTCATAAAATCTGTTATAAATGGCTTTAGCAATCGTTGTTTTACCTATTCCACCCATGCCTAAAATTCCAATCACACGAACATCATATGAATCTCCGATGCCTAAATAATTACTGATATCTAGCACTCGAGTATCTATTCCGACTTGATAAGGCGCTACGTCGAAGTATTTGTTGTTCAACTTCATAGTGACGTCATTGGTAATCATCCTGATAAACTTTGCTTCATGCCTGGCATTCGTTAAGTTGAGAAGCAAAACGAAGATTGTTAATACAACAAAATTGAACTAATTAATACACAAAATTATTTATCATGAACAGAGATTTTAATTAAGACATCTTTTTTTTGAGGTGGTGTGTTTAAACTTAGCAAACATCAATTAAAATTAAAATTAAAATAAGAAACACAAACAAAAAAACCAGCATCCCATCCCTCCGCAGCCAGTCGCCGGCGGCTTCCCAACTGTGATTAGTGTAGCCTTAACAGTTTAAACTTTATTGTATGATTTTGTTACAGAGGTCTAAGAAATTGCATGATTCCAAATTAATAAGCAAAGGTACGTTAAAGCCTTAATTCATAAGAAAAGAAATTAGTACGTACTCGTCCAAAGTGTTTCTGAGATCCCAGCCAGACAAATTCGAAGCTTCAGTAAGAGCAGCTCTCCTCCTCTCTACCTTTTTTTCATCTGTATGTTTGAGAAACGATTGTGCAAAACAACCAGTCTGTTTCCTGACATGCGAGGGATCAACGTCATAGAATATCGGCAAAACTAATTGCCCTATTATTCTTCTACACTTCATGATCTTAACCAGCTCCTCAAGACACCAGCGGGAGTCCGAGTACCGTCTTGAGAAGACGATGATAGAGATCCTTGAACCCTGGATTGCCCGCACAAGTTCGCTAGTTATGTCTTCTCCTCTTCTTAGTTCGTCGTCAATAAAGGCGTTGATTCCGGCCCTTGTCAATGCTTCGTGGATGTGGCCTGTGAAGTTTTTACGTGTGTGTTCGCCTCTGAAGCTTATGAACACTTTGTACAGTGAGCCTTTTGAGAAGGAGGACAAGGATAGGGAGGCAGAGGAGGACGGTGATGATGAGATTGAGGGTGAGGAGGTGGAGGAGGCGGAGGAGGACGAGGAGGATAAGGATGAGGCGGAGGAGGCAGAGGAGGACGATGAGGATGAGGGCATGGACGAGGTTTTATCGGGGACTGAGATATTCATTTGGCGAAAGACGAAGCCGAGGGAGCAGAGGAGGAAGATGAGGACATCAAAGACAAGACCGGAATTGTGATGAACATGGTGGTAGGACAGTAACACCAGCACCATAATTAACAAATTCCCTAAGCTCGACCAGTTATCCATTGCCTTCAATTTGTTTGGCTATATTGATTTTCATTTTTTTCTACCGGAACTACTTTCTTCTTATAATTAATAAACCCGCCTACGCGGCGTAGTTGACTGTAGACTTGAGTATTGGTAAGTTGACTTGTGGTTCTACACCCTAAATTTTGGGTGGTGCTCTTTTTTTTTTCCACTATAGCGCCAAATTCTACGTGGTAAGTTAACTTGTGGTTCTACACCCTAAATTCTACGAGACGCCCTTTTCATTCCACTTTAACGCCAAATTCTACACGGTGCCTTATGGTTCACACAATGATGAGAGATTTTTCAGTTTATAGGAACACAGTCCAGTACACTACACCATTTATAAAATAACCCTTTGATGAGCTTTGTGCAGAGAACCACATCAGGCCTGTACCCCTCGTTAACCATTAGCTCAAGAAAGTAGAGTGCTTCATTGTACTGGCCTGCTTTGCAGGACCTGTTGAGAACTTTCATAAATGTGAACTCGAAACTTGGGTTAGGCTACGGTACCACAGGTATTAACTCATGGCCCAACCAAATGAGAATTTTTTGGGTCCTGCATGTAGGTCACCTGCCTTGAGATCGGACTTGTGCTACCATCCAATAAGAAGCTTCGTTCAAGCCTAAAACATCTCACCCGGGCCCACCTCTCTTGTATTCTGGCCCCACTCACTGTTCATCATGCACCCGTTGGGTCTTTGGTCGGATAGCCACTCGACATGGGCATCTGGACCGAAGAACTCCACATACAGGGGGATTTGTAGGCAAGGTAGGGCCGACACGGGGGCACTTACCCTACTGAAGTTTTTCCTCACTCGCCGCACAACATGGTACTACCGCTTGCATTAGGGTGGGTCGAGCATAAGGTTGTGTGGGATTTGCGTGTGTTGCTCTTTATGTGCATGACCAGACAAGTGACGTGATCTACCAGCCAGACCCAACATCGAAGAAATTTTAGCAAGGTGCATGCTAACACATTGTTTTTGCAAGGCTGCGTTGATACTTTAAACATACAGATAAGAAAACATTCTTCAATAATATGGTGTGTATTAATCATGATGTAAGACATATATATTATTATTATAATTTGAATGATTATAACGAAAAGAGGAAGAAGTTACAAGTTTGCAACATATAATGTGTCCTAAACTCGTATTTCCGAGGGCTAACTCTCCCTCAACTAATGGGTTCCGATGTCGGCAACGTGGAGCTTTAGGCCTTGTACGGTGATGTACTTGTGCTGTATTTGTTCCATTTTAGTCTTCCCTTAATGAACAAGAGAGAGTTAAGTTTTAGTTCAGAAAATGTATTACGAACTTACTACAAACTCGACAATAAAAATAGAATACAAATAAAAAAAAACCTTATTTCATTAAGTGAGATCGATTGCTCGTTCCAAGTCCAATTAAAAAGAAGAGGAAGGCGTCAGATAGTCAAAATTCGACATTTTGTTTTCACGTTGAAATCACTATAATAATGAATCCATAAAATAGAATACGTTTGAATTTTTTTAATACAATCAATTAGTTATAAGATTAAACTAATATAAACTGCGGATAAAATTTGAATTCAGGTGTATAAAATGCGCATATCCATTCTAAATATCTAACTTATGTAACTACGTCTACATCGGTTTTATTTGGTTTAGAGAACAAGAATAAAATTTATCCCGTAAGTACACAAGATTAAGTTTAAGACGTCTTAATAATCAGAAGATACTTTTATACATTATCCTTTCATCAATCATGTTACATGACAAAAAAATGAGGTGTTGACTTATAAGAGCTAGCTAAAGGTAGCATATTCCTTTCTTTCTTTGTGGTTTCAACCTATCCTTGCCCGCCTTACTAAATCATGTAACACAAACGTTATCCACACACCTCATTTTACTTTTCACATATCTTTTGATAATTTATGTCCGTTGATCTTCTTCAATTCATCTGATCCGATGGTCGAAAATTAAAAAGATGTATGAGAAATAAAATGAAATGTGTGAATATCACACCCCTAAATTAATTGTGATAAAATAAATTTTCAAATACTTTTATACATCTAAGTTTGAGCTCTATTATTATCGCTTATTGTCCAAATCGTCCAAACGGACGCCACTCATCGACAATATTAATTCCAAACGCCATGTCGTTTCCATGCAGTTTCTCAAAAACCAAAAAAATATTGGCGGGTCGACTCAACGAGTCGATTAACTTTCCTAAAACATGCAGAACTGTTTCAAATTTTGCAAGCTCTTTAAATTCAGCGGCTTTCATGTTTTTGTCTGTCGAAGCACTCAAATTTTTTCAGGTGATTGATTTATTCTTCTTGTTGTTGCGCTTTGTTTGTTCGAATACCAGAAATTTGACTACTTTCTTTGTATTGTTTGCTGAGAATTTTTGTTTTTTAGGTTGGTTTTAAGAATTAAAATCGGTAAATACTAAATACCCTTTTGGGTTGTGAGCGAGATCTGCTGTAATATGCAGAGATTAAGGATTAATATTGTCTGAAATTCAGAAGTTGTAATTCTGGGATTTGGTTGTTTGAGCTGTAAATTTTGGGAATTTGAGCAATGGGTGTTCAATACAGTCCTAGGGTTTGAAAGGGGATATTGGTTTCGAGAAGGTTTTGACTCGTTACCAATGTCTTGGGGTTGGTTTTGAGCTGGAAATTTTGAGAATTAAGGAAGTGGGTGTTCCATGTACAGTCTTAGGGTTGAAAGGATGGTTTTTTTTTTTTTTTTTTTTTTTGGGGAAATTTTTCGATTTGTTGCCATTCTGCGAGTCGGTTTTGAGCTGGGAATTTAGGGAGTTTAAGCAATGGGTGTTCCATATACAGTGTTAGGGTTGAAAGGAGATGCTGTTTTTAAGGAATTTGTTTTCGAGGAATGACTTAGATGGGTTCACAGAGGATGAAGTCGAGCATCGCTATATATCTTGTGTTTCTTCTGTGTGAAATTGTGAATTATTAGCCGTCAGCAAAATTGTTAGTAGCATATTAGAATTTTTAGGTTTCAAATTTTTTGTTACAAACTAATGTGTTTACTATCAAGTTGAAATAGTTTTGAACCAACAGATGGAAATAATATGTTGATGATTTTGTCTTCTTTTCGAATGCTGACTTTATAAGTTATTCAGGAATGCGAGTAAAACACCAAAACATACCGGAAGGGACAGCGGATAATGGCAGAATTAGAAAATTTGCTCTTGGAGGCTGCGAGAAGAACAAGTTCATCGGGGAAAAACCGACACTCACATTCATCATCTAGGAGGAGAAGTCGGGGCTCATATTCTGATGGAGGAAGTGACTCTAGAGGTGATGATTCTGACGATGGTCATGGCTATGCAAGCAGGAAGCCCTCTGGACCTCAAGTTCCTTTGAAGAAGAGGTTGGACCCTAGACGATGAACAAGGTAGCCAGGAAGAAGGTGGTTATAACAATAGTGGTTCGGATCTCGGGCGGGAGGGGTGGGAGACAATAATGAATCTAATGTTGGCAGTGATCTTTACAAGGATGAAGACGATAGGCAGAAGCTCGCAGAGATGTCTGAACTTCAAAGAGAGTTAATTCTGTCTGAAAGAGCACAGAAGAAAGATCACAAGAGTTTAAAGAAGAATTTCCGACCAAAGTGGGACAAGGGGGAGGCCCCACAGTCCCAGAAAGAGGCTCCCCCTCTTACAACCTCTCAGGTGCGTTCATCAGCCAGATTTGCTGATAGGGCAACTTTCAAGGATGATGCATTGAATGAGTTAATAGCAAAATGTTTGGAGCAGCAGGACCCTAAGACTCACCTCAAGTTGAGAGATGCTTCTCGTAGTGAAGTGATGGATCATCAGAGGATGATGCAATGATTGATAGTGATGATGAAAGGTCAGAGGGACTAACTTTTGATGATATAAAAGAGATTACCATTCGAAGGTCGAAACTTGCAAAGTGGTTTATGGAGCCCTTCTTGGAAGAGTTAATTGTGGTTTGCGCTGTGAGGGTTGGAATTAGGAGGTCAAAATCTAGGACTATCAGTGGTAGGAGCAGTATGGGCAGGCATGGCGGCAACTGCAGCAGCTCTGGAAGCTGTGGCTGGTGCGGGGAAGTTGATTGATACGAGTGCCCCTGTTGATTTTGGAAGAGAGTCAAATCTAAAGCATAATTTTGAGCTGCCAATATCATTGGCAGCTCTTCAGAAGTTTGGAAAGGCACAGGGTGCTCAGAAAGGGTCCTTGGTAAGAAAGCAGCGAATAGAAGCAATAGTTGGGTGCCAAGTCCCAGAGAATGATGGGAGGAGGCATGCGCTGATGCTTACAGTTGGCATCAGCGCATAGAAGAGGGATTCTATGAACATATTAAAAACCTTAAATGCATTAATAAGTTAAATTAAACCACCACAGAAACAAGAAAGTTCAAAAAGAGAGAACATATTAAAAACAGATCAAGGCATGCAAAAAAATATAGACTCTATTTGCAAACTAGCTGCTTAAACCAGAAGGTTTCCAAGCTTACATAGTTGTCGTCGTCTTGGTCCTCCTCATCATCATCTTCATAATTAGCATCCACTCCTTGTTGGTCCTCATCTTCGTTTTGTTCCTCTTCCTCCTCATCATCCTCATCAAAATCCTCATCGTGTTGTCATCATCCTCATTAAAATCTTCATCTTCATAATGCTCATCAAAATCATCAACTTCGGTAGAAATTTCTTCTAAGGCATGTTCGTAAGGGATACAATGGTAAACTAAGAACGAACCTTCGAAAGTCATAAGTTTGTCGCATACTATACGTACCCCTATTTTCTTCGTCGGACAATGTGCAATAACATGGACCAAATCGCCTTCTTCCAAATTGAACTCAGTTTCCAACAACGATAAATTTCCCAACCAAAGGATCTCTTCAAGGGGAAAAATATATACTATTTCGACATAAAAACTAGTACCCTTGGTGTGATTCATAACATAAATATAACATGAGCTGACGTAATCATGAGGAATAGAAGCCAGGTACACAGCCAACACTTTTGCATTACAACCAATTTCCGTAGGCACTTCAAAAGAAACTTGGGAACCCTCGTTGACATGATTGAACCAAGTGGGAATTTGTCTTCCTACAAGAGTCATGGTTCCACCTCCTGTCAATCCCTATACAATGTTGAACAAGATTTGAGTGAGTAATACACATATTTTCCAGGGAGGGAGGAGAGGAGGGTGGTGTGGAAGAGAGAGAGTACCTGTATCGTGCTATCCTTAAGAAGGAAATTTGTGACATTGTTGTGTGTTATCATACAAAGTGTGAGTCCCGAGTTTAACGCACTATCCAAGCATGGAAACTTAATGAGTTTCAGGGAAAAGAGAATCACCGTTGTCGACATGCCTGAAAAATCTGGCATTCTTTCGAATGCAGAGCAGTCGTCCATGTGCAGGAAACCCAAACTTTTTGGTAAATCTGTAATCTCGACAAGGTTTCTGCAACCATTCAAGGATAGTATAATAAGCTTGGAGAGGCCACTGAGGCTTGGAAGGCTCCCAAAATTATTGTCATCTAGACGTAACTCCACTAAACAAGGTAGACTACTCCCAATATCATTATGCACTTCTTCTATATTGCTGTCCTCCAAAATTAAGCTTGTCAAAGAGCGTAAACCTCGTAATGAAGGTAGGTGCAACGAACACTTCAATTTACTCAAAGATAAGCGCTCGAGCTTCTCTAGTCGGATGATGGAAGGTGGTACTTTTTTTATGGCCGTTCCACCTGCATAAAGAGTGACCAATGATGCCATTTCTCCCAAGTGCTTAGACAAGCTTTGGAATCTTGAACAACCATCAAGAACAAGAGTTTTGACAGATTTCAACTTGTAGAAACTTCTCGGAAGAGCCTTAAGCATTTCACAGTCTTTCAAATTCACCAACACAAGACTATTGAGATCTCCGATGGACTTGTGAACTTTAGCCAACCTCTTACAATCTTTGAGTATAATTTTCTCAAGATTTGGGAATTTCGAAAAGTCTGGCGATTGTGTTAGATTGTGGGAGTGGCTGAGATTCAGAATCTTCAACTTATCAAACAATTGTTATGAAAAATCAAAGTGAAATAAAAAATTCAAATCCAAAAAGAAGATACAAAGAGCATAAAAATAATTCCTAATTTGGTTTAGGTTACGCATTGTACTTACCCCAGAATACTCACAAAGAACTTGTCTGAGGCTGCTGTACTGCATGTCGATAGCGACTATGTTTGGTTGGCACAGTTCTATTGGTATGAAATCCAATGAGCCGAACGTAGTTTAGTTGGAGCAATCTTAGTCTCTTCAAATTTCTAAACGCCTTAGTACTGAAACTAGCCTATTCAAGACTCGATAAATTCAAAGCCAGACCTTCAATTGTTTCAGTTCCCTGCTATCCGAAAAAAACAAACACCAAATAAGAGAAGGCTTTGCATGAAAAAAATGTTAGATTACTAACTTACATATGCTTACACGTTTAACATAAAGTTTAATTAGGAAAGTACTTACAGATTTGTCTATCAATACATCATTTACATCTTCACGATGCCACAATCTACTCCGTTCTCCAGGGAAATCGGGATTTTCTACATGCACGATATCTCTGCCCATATCCCGAAGCAAATCATGCATCATGATCTTGTTTTCTCTATTAATAGTTACAAGGCACCGGTCAAGGAGAACCTCAATTCCTGTTGTTGCATAAAAGCAACAACCATCCAAGATTTGCACGACATCATTCTTGTCCATTCCGATAAAACAACAAGCTATATCGAGGAATATCCGTCTCTTGTAATTATCATTTAGTCCGTCGTAGCTTATTTTCAGTTGTGCCTGAATTTCTCCACGAGGAATCATTTTCAATTCATCCAATATACTTTTCCATTCATTTACACTTCGTTTGAAAAGAGCAAATCCTAAAACTTCAAGAGCCAGCGGCAATCCTCCACAGTAATTGACAACTTCTTTTTCAAGCACAAGATATTGACTAGGACAACTACTACTTCTGAAAGCATGCCAACTTAGGAGCTCAAGAGCTTCTTGTTAGTCCATTACTTTCGCCCGATATATCTTATCAACTGCAAATTCTTTTAGCACACGTTCGTGTCTAGTTGTGATGATGATTCTACTCCCCGGGCCAAAAGAGTGGCAATTTCCAGCTAATTCGCTTAGCTGCTTCACATCGTCTACATCATCAACTATGACAAGTACCTTTAAGCCTCGAAATCTTTCCCTTACCAAGGCGGTCCCTGCAGCAACACTGCTTACCTTTGTCTTGGTTTGCAAGATATCGAAAAGAAATTGTTTTTGCAATTTTTCTAGTTTCTTTTCCCTCACTTTTTCAAGGAAACTTTTACCTTCAAACCTTTCATAAAATCTGTTATAAATGGCTTTAGCAATCGTTGTTTTACCTATTCCACCCATGCCCAAAATTCCAATCACACGAACATCATATGAATCTCCGATGCCTAAATAATTACTGATATCTAGCACTCGAGTATCTATTCCGACTTGATAGGGCGCTACGTCGAAGTATTTGTTGTTCAACTTCATAGTGACTTCATTGGTAATCATCCTGATAAACTTTGCTTCATGCTTGGCATTAGTTAAGTTGAGAAGCAAAACGAAGATTGTTAATACAACGAAATTGAACTAATTAATACACAAAATTATTTATCATGAATAGAGATTATAATTAAGACATCTTTTTTTGAGGTGGTGTGTTTAAACTTTGCAAACATCAATTAAAATTAAAATTAAAATTTAAATAAGAAACACAAAAAAAAAACCAGCATCCCTTTCCTCCGTAGCCAGTCGCCGGCGACTTCCTAACTGTGATTAGTGTAGCCTTAACAGTTTAAGCTTTATTGTATGATTTTATTACAGAGGTCTAAGAAATCGCATGATTCCAAATTAATAAGCAAAGGTACGTTAAAGCCTTAATTCATAAGAAAAGAAATTAGTAAGTACCTGTCCAAAGTGTTTCTGAGATCCCAGCCAGACAAATTCGAAGCTTCAGTAAGAGCAGCTCTCCACCTCTCCACCTTTTTTTCATCTGTATGTTTCAGAAACGATTGTGCAAAACAACCAGTCTGTTTCCTGACATGCGAAGGATCAACATCATAGAATATCGGCAAAACTAATTGCCCTAGCGTTCTTCTACACTCCATGATCTTAACCAGCTCCTCGAGACACCAGCTGGAGTCGGAGTACCGTCTTGAGAAGACGATGATAGAGATCCTAGAACCCTGGATTGCTCGCACAAGTTCGCTAGTTATATCTTCTCCTCTTCTTAGTTCGTCGTCAATAAAGGCGTTGATTCCGGCCTTTGTCAATGCTTCGTGGAGGTGGCCCGTGAAGTTTTTACGTGTGTCTTCGCCTCTGAAGCTTATGAACACTTCGTAGAGTGAGCCTTTTGAGAAGGAGGACAAGGACGGGGAGGCGGAGTAGGACGATGAGGATGGGATTGAGGGTGAGGAGGTGGATGAGGTGGAGGAGGACGAGGAGGATGAAGTTGAGGCAGAGGAGGTGGAGGAGGGCGAGGACGAGGACGAGGACAAGGTTTTATCAGGGACGGAGATATTCATTTGGCGAAATACGAGGCTGAGAGAGCAGAAGAGGAAGATGAGGACATCAAAGACAAGACCGGAATTGCGATGAGCATAGTGGTTGGACAGTAACGCCAGCACCATAATTAACAACTTCCCTAAGCTCGACCAGTTATCCATTGCCTTCTATTTCTTTAGGCAAATTGAAGGTTGTTTGGCGATATTGATTTTCTTTTTTTCTACCGGAACTACTTTCTTATTTTTATAATTAATAAATCCGCCTACACGGCGCAGTTGACTGAAGACTTGAGTCTTGGTAAATTGAGTTGGGGTTCTACACCCTAAATTCTAGGAGGTGCTCTATTTTTCCACTATAATCCCAAATTCTACATGGAAAGTTGACTTGTGGTTCTACACCCTAAATTCTACGAGGCGCCATTTTCATTCCACTTTAACGCCAAATTCTACATGGTGTCTTATGGTTCACACAATGATGCATTAATTATACATTGAAAATTTACAGCACGCTTTTGGAAAATATGATCTCTTGCATCCCCAAAGTCAATTTCAATCTGCATGGGAATTGACAATGTGTGTGTGTGGGCATTCGTAATAATGCCAAGTTTTCAACATTTCTTTTATTCTACTGGAACTACTTATTCTTCTTATAATTAATAAACTCGCCTATGCGGCGTAGTTGACTGAAGACTTGAGTCTAGGTAAATTGACTTGTGGTTCTACACACTAAATTCTAGGAGGTGCTCTTTTATCTACTATAATGCCAAATTCTACACGGTAAGTTGACTTGTGGTTCTACATCCTAAATTCTATGAGGCACCATTTTCATTCCATTGTAACGCCAAATTCTACGCAGTGCCTTATGGTTCACACAATGATGCATTAATTATACATTGAAAATTTACAGCACCCTTTTGGAAAATATGATCTCCTGCATCCCCAAAGTTAATTTCAATTTGTATGAGAATTGACAATGTGTGTGTGTGTGTGTGTGTGTGTGTGTGTGTGTGTGTGTGTGTGTTTGTGTGGGCATTCATAATAATGCCAAGTTTTCAACATTTATTTTATTCTACCGGAACTACTTTCTTCTTCTTATAATTAATAAACCCGCCTACGCGGCGCAGTTGACTGAAGACTTGAGTCTAGGTAAATTGACTTGTGGTTCTACACCCTAAATTATAGGAGGTGCTCTTTTTTTCCACTATAATGCCAAAATCTACACGGTAAGTTGACTTGTGGTTCCTTATGGTTCACACAATGATGAGAGATTTTTTAGTTTATAGGAACACAGTCCAGTACACTACACCAGTTATAAAACAACTACAAGAGGGCTAGTTTGAAAATATCCTACTGCAAAGTTTGATTTGGTTTGGACCAAATTTTGATTTAGATGAAAACTAGCAAATGCTCGCGCGTTGCTGTAGGTGTTTAAAATGTTTTGATAATATGTACATACTATTAAACATAATTTATTAAAGCTAGATTTCTATACCTAAGATAGAGGTTGACAGTGTTCATAATTATCAAAAGTTGGCAGTGTCCAATTGCTCACTGTTCAAATGGTAGAGCTGCTATAAAAGCTTAATTCATGTACATAAGTTCATAGTATCATGTACTCAAAATAATCATAGTATCAAAAGATTGGCAGTCTTCAATTGCTCATCGTTCAAATACGAAAATATACATATGTCCATATCAGAAGGTTGGCACCTCACATCTGCTGTGTTTATGATTTTTCCTGTTCAATCTCTGGTCTTGCTTGTTTGGGAATGGCTATCCTTTTTCTTGGCCACCATGCTGTTGAATTGGTGCCTTTTGCCCAGGATTTTTCTCTTGCTATATATTACGAATTGGAATCAGTAAGAATTCCATATAAAAAACTCAATTTGTCAATCTATTTAACTTAGTGCGAACTTCATCAAACAACCAAGAAGTATAATCCAGCAAGGTTATTTTCTCTTTTTGTTTTTAAATCAAAATGAATTCTACTGTTCCCATCTATTTGCACATCCCTTTAAATTATCCAAAAACACAAAAGAAATATATCTTGATCCATACCAATTAATGATTTCCCATTTACTTAAGTCAAACGTCAAAGCCAATGAACTGATGAAGGAGCTGAAAAAGAGATGAGATGGAAGGAAATCACATACCAGCATCAGGCTTAAATTTGTAGTGCTCATCTGAGAGAGCAGTGATAGTGCTGATGAGAGTGTAGGGAGAGAAACAAAATGCAAATCGTAAGAGTTTGAGAGAAACCCCTTGAGGGACACTGCAGATTGATCGTTGAGATTTGAGAAACAGAGGAAGCTGCAATTTGAGACGAACTGCTATGCATCAAACGTGGTGGAGTTTCTACGTTTGAATAGAAGAGGTAGTCTCAGAGCTGTCTGCCATTAGTCCTTTCAGGAGCTTCTGCACTGGTTGATGTCTCGGTCGTTTCCTTAGTTGCATGTGCATTGTAGACTTGGGTAGATGAAAAGTAGAAAGAAAATAAAATATAAAGTCAAAGTTACTACTTAACAATCTATGTTGATTCATGTCCCATGCATAATAAGAATATAGTGAATCATTTTTCATCTCGTGCACTGGTTTACAAGGATGAAGACGATAGGCGGAAGCTCGTAGAGATGTCTGAAACTTCAAAGAGATCTAATTCTGTCTGAAAGAGCACAGAAGAAAGATGACAAGAGTTTATGTTTTATTTGGCTCATACATTTGTGAATGCTACAAGGAAATGGCAGCAACCGTGACTTTGTGTTTGCTTGCATGCAATTGTGCATGTTTTCTCTTCTCTGCATTGAATGGCAAATGGAGTAAAAATTGTACTCTATAGGCTAGGTATAGACTTTGGTGCATGCTGGGTAGGCTAGGTGATGATTATGTCATGTGAACTTAAGACTTTTTGGTCTTGGTTGTTGGCATGGTTGCTAGTGTATGCCAATAACTAGATGCAATATTTGTGCATTTATTATGCTTGGAAAGTGGGAAGGTAAGCATCATAGAAGCATCCAAGGGGGAGAGCATCCGGCTTTCCCATGGGAAGGGTTGAACATGGGTTGAGAGAAAATCAAGAGAGCTAGAGTGAAAAGTATTCTAGTGAAAGAACTCTTGGGGTAGAGTGAGGCTCTTGGGAAAACTTTTTGATTGGGTGTACAAGGGATTTAAGATTGGGTTATGTCGATTTAACTCATTTGTAATTTGTATTGTTATTCTAATAGTGAAGAGCAATATCTCTACGGGGACGTAGGCAGGTTTTTGCCGAACCTCGTAAATTTCTCGATATCTTTATTTCTTGTATTTTATTATGTGGGTCTGTATCTTGGTGAGGTAATCTGAATCTTATTTCTGCACTAACTAACGGACCGAGGCACAACAGTTTAAAGGAGAAGTTCCGACCAAAGTGGGACAAAGGGAAGGCCTCATAGTCCCGGAAAGAGACTCCATCCTCTCGGGTGCGTTCATCAGCCAGATCTGCTGACAGGGCAGCTTTCAAGAATGATGCATTGAATGAGTTACGAGAAAAACGTTTGAAGCAGCATGACCCCGAGGCTCACTGCGAGAAGTTGAGATATGCTTCTCGTAGTGAAGATGATGGATCATCAGGGGATGATGTGATGATTGACAGTGATGATGAAAGGTCAGAGGGACTAACTTTTGATGATATAAAGGAGATTACCATTCGAAGGTCGAAACTTGCAAAGTGGTTTATTGAGCCCTTCTTGGAAGAGTTGGTTGTGGTTTGCGTTGTAAAGGTTGGAATTGGGAGGTCAAAATCTGGGACTATCAGTGGTGGGAGCAGTACAGGCAGGCATGGCGGCAACTGCGGCAACTTTGCAGGGCCGATCCAGAGATTTTTGAGGTCCAGGACGACGTTAAAAAATGTGCCCTCATTTCATATAAAAAAAAAAACATTTGTTTTCACATATAAAACATCGATAAAATTATATTTAGAAAACTACTTCAAACTCAATAATTTAGAAATACGGAATAATTAATTTATTTTGCATCAAGGGAAGGAAACTAAAAAACTTCAGGCTTTCAAGTAGATCGAATATGAGTTTTGTTTTCCGTCTGAACTTTTAAAGTGTTTTTGTATAAATTGTGAGTTGTTTTTCTTATTTACTAACCTCGTCAATATAAGACTAAAAAAATATTAATGTTTTTGAGTCTTTAAGGATATGTATAAGTAATGAATGAACACTAAATTAAACCTTTTGATGACACGTAATATTATTTGCAAATTTGGTATAAAATTTAGTCTACGCATTATTTTTTGCTGAAGATTAGACTTGAATTGAAACAGATATTTAAAAATAGCAACCCACATAGCTACTAGCTAGTAAATAAATTAACAACCAAACAAAAATTTGTAAAAATTGAAAAAAATAAACATGCACATACCATTTTGAACTTAGGATCTCTCGTTAATTTTAAACAACAAAAACCATTGCTTCCAATTAAACATGTAGCCAAATTTTATAAATTTATACTGTTATGAAAATAAATTTATAAAAATTGGAATGTCAATAAGCACACATGGTGTTTTAAACCTAAGAACTCTTCATTCATTTTAAACAACAAAACCACCTGTTCTAGTTAAAATTCTTTGTCACTAAACCAAAATTTACAAATTTATACTCTTATAAAAACATATATAAATATAGGAGATATTTTGCTACTCCATTGATTAAAATCCTTTTTTTTTTTCAATTTTTGATCAAAATCCTTGGGTATTAATAACATCATTAATTATTTCAATAATAAAATATTTTTTTATTTCTAAATATATTCATTTAATGTTAAAAATGTTACAATTAGTATATTTATATTTATGACTAAATATCATATATTTTTAGTTTTAATTTGTACCCATTTTTAATTTGTAATTCTTTTTTAACTTGTACCAATTTTCTTTTACGTTTTAATTTGTACCTATATATTAATTTCTTTTTGTGCCCATATTTTTTAAAGTTTATTTGTATTTGTACCCATATATATATATTTATTTTGCTAAATGTACCCATGCTAATTATATGTACCCATTCATGTAAAACTTTTTAATCTTAAAATGTACTCATTCTTAAATATACCAATTTGTTATATGTAAAATGTACCCATTTTTTTTAATATATAAAATCTATTCAATTTTTTTCTAATCCATTTTGAAACTTATATGAGTACATTCTTTTTTCTTTGATTTTAAAATGTATCCATGTCAA